TTACAATTTCTTTCAGTTCGGCCTAAAAGTTTTCCAAAGATGAATTTTGAGTATAGTTCAGATTTAAACATAAGCAGCTCTTTAAGTGCCAGAAAGTAGATTTTATTTTTAAGTGTCTCAGGTAAACAAAATTCAAAATCATGTTCCAGATTGAGAATACAAATATTGGTATGTATTCCTTGGAAATTCACAATTAAATTATACAAGCTGACAATTCAATGGTACCATATTATAGGAAGCCCTGACAATATACAAAACGCCAGATTAATGAAATCACACACTAACAGAATAAAACTAAAAAAAGGAGATTTAGGGCATGGCAAAGAAAAAAAAAAAGCATAGCAAATAAAACACATAAAAACAAAAGCAATCACCTAGTGCATATGCAACAAATTATGCACTGTACAACATTACTGGGAGTAAAACTAACCTTCTTAAAAAGCTGCAAGTGTGTGATTTTTGTGTCGTAGCAGATCATAATCCAACTATAATTTTGAGCAACAGCTTCATGTTAGCGAACAGGAATGTTACACCACACCATTTTAGATGCAGATTATACTTGTATGCCTAGAACTTTGCAATGCAATGTAAAACGTGTTAATAGTGGTAGAAATATTACAAAAAATAAAAAGATGTAGCAAAGTTAATGAAAAAAAATTTCAAGAAAAAAAAAAAAAAAAAAACAACACCCTGAAGGAGGGAAAAAAAAAAAAAAAAAAAAAAAAAAAACAGCTCTTGAAACATGCAAATCAAAAGATCTATTAAATAGATTATGATTGCTATGAACAAAGCTGTAATTTTAAGCAGGTATTGCAAGGTTTGATTAAAACAGGATGTTTTAAATCACAAGATTGCCTAACAGAGCTGACAACAGTATAGTCTGATATCTGAAATTTGCCTGAGAATATACATATTATGTGGAGAATATGACAGACTGCAGTCAGCCAATGAAGGCTGTGTGCTTGTCATGCAACATACTGCATTTGTAGTTCATACACAAATCTAAATATTTCACAGCCTTAGTTATACTTTGATAGCCCCGATCCACACACGAGAGGAGAAAAAAAAAATACCTACAAGGGCACCAAAACATTTTGCACAGGAAATTTAAATACTTTGTTATGGAAAATCCTAATGTTGCACTTATACTGAAAAAGCAAACCGCTTTCACACATTTTATCATTTCTGTACATGAACTATAAGTCTGAAAAATAAAAATGCTACACACACACACAAAGCATCCTCTCAAATTCACATATCAACTTACATTATAGGATTTCTGCAAGTCACAATCAATGATAATTTATTTTACATCTTAAAAAACAAAAACAAAAAAACCATACAAGAAATACTCAAGTCCTATTTCAAAATCATATGGTCAAATGCATCGCATCCATATGTTCAGATTTCCACTAGAACAAGATACAGAGACCAAGATATGTTAGATGAAAACTGTACCAAGATTATCAGAGTAGGCCCAGCAGGTCTTTATGTATAGTTGAGTGACAGCTAATACACTTAAGTAGACATGTATTTGCCATAACAAAATGGCAACGGCCAGCAAACCTAAACTGAGTAATCTAGATGGATTAGGGGATAAAAGTTACTCATACCAGATATACCACACACTTAATGTTAGGATACCCCTTTAAACTAGGAGGTGTGTACTCTACACACCATTAACGATCAGTATTCCACTATAGGTCACTATACACAGCTTTGCAAAACTGGTGTTTTTCCAATTTCAATACTGCACATCCCAACAGCCGCCACCACTAACCTACCAATTATAGGATTTGTAAGTGACATTTAACTTGCAAAGTCTTGGAACATGCAGCAGCACATGGTCATATAATGCCATTAACAGTCACAATTGTTACAAAACTTACAGTCTCAGATGTTATACAGTTGTGCAATAGTATTAAGAACCTGCCAGTGTAGCAAAATCCTTGAGACCCTCACATTATGCACACAGTGCGTTTACTATGAAGCGTTTACTATGAAGCTCCTTAAGCTGCATGCCTGGCTTTTGGCACTACTAAAATCACCTGTGATTAACCATGTAAACCCCTAATGGAACAAATATCTTCTGAAAATATAAGCTACCCAATAGCATGCAACTCACCAAAAAAAGATTGCCCAATATTCTAACTCTGCATGCCCCACCGCAACTTCATGGTACCACAGGTAGGCATTTTTCCTCATCATTCAGCATACATTTAGTGATTAATCACAAGCAATTTTAGAAACTGCTACTAAACCTGTGCAGCTCAGGCCCCAGTTGTCAGTAAATAAAAATCAATGTTCAGCCATAAATCTAGTGTGGAATACAAAACAAGTTGAAGGTCAGGAAGACTAGCTACAGTCTTTGTGGCAAATTTACTGCATGAGAAATGCAGGGCTGTGGTGTATACGTGTGCTGGGCCTAAAATGGTGGCAAATTTAAAGGATAAGTTCACCTTTTAACAAAAGATAAAATGCAGGTAAAAAAAGGAAGGTTTATTTTTTGTTCCTGGAGCTTCTAAAGCATTGTACCAGCGATCAACAGATCCCTGGTGCCATGCAGGTCTTCTGCAGACCTGTTGGCATATCTGTGTGCCCGTATATTGTACGAGCAAGCAGATACTGACAGGAAGACTCGAACTATCACAGCTCTGGTAGTTAATTGGTAACAAGCCGACAGCCGGTACAATCCCCGCACGGCCTGTTTTAAATTGTGACAGCAAACGGGGAGAAGATCCACTCTAGCCGCGACTTATAGCAGGACTGCGGCAGGCATTCTGACACTGGGTGGGAACTGCCACTGACACTAATACGGTGATCAGTGCTAATAAAAAGCACTGACACTGTACTGACACTGGGCTGGTAGGGGTTAGTATCTGGTAAAATCAAAGGGTTTACTGTGTGCTGTGTTTTACTAGGGAGACATGCTGTTTTGTATCTCTTTGCTGTTTACACAGGTCTATCCCATCAGCTTTCCACAACGACGGTCGAGTGCCGGCCGGAAACAGCCGGTCGAGTGCCGGCCGGAAACAGCCGGTCGAGTGCCGGCCGGAAACAGCCCGGTGCCGGCCGGAAACAGCCGGTCGAGTGCCGGCCGGAAACAGCCGGTCGAGTGCCGGCCGGAAACAGCCGGTCGAGTGCCGGCCGGAAACAGCCGGTCGAGTGCCGGCCGGAAACACAGCCGGTCGAGTGCCGGCCGGAAACAGCCGGTCGAGTGCCGGCCGGAAACCGATCCGGTGATTGACATCTCTAGCCGCCAATAGCGGCATGGGTAGGGCGGTGCGCCTGCCCCCTACCCGGAAATGAAAATCGCGTATATATACACACATGGTTTTGTGCAGCCCTGTAGCAGTACTTCTGCTATAGGGTGGAGGACAAGCGGGTAATCTCTTTAGCAGTTCATGTTTCCTACCCACCCTCTAATTCAGTGATGAAGCCTCCATCAGGCTGTCATTTAATATCGGATGTGTCAGATGCCTGTGCCCATCATAGTGGACTGTGGTGCTGTCCTCCAGTTATAGCACTGCTGAGTCCTGTAAATCACATTAGGCATCAGGCAGATGGATCCAAAAAGCGCAGAGAACTGACATAGCAAAATGTCTGATGGAGGCCGCAATGCTGGAAAAATCAAAAGGTAGCGGGCACAGCCCACTAGAGAGAAGAGTTTTGTTATCTCTTCTCTACTGCAGCTGGGTGTTATTTTTGTAAAGCAACTGACGGTCACTTTCAATGCTACATGGAAAACCTTGAATCTTGTAAACTTTTTTTTTTTATAGTAAATTCTGAGTCTAGGTAAAAAGGGACCCTTGAAAATCATCTGCTACAAAATTAGTTAACAGCAAAGCAAGTCTGATTTGCTTTACAAAAATGAAAGTGTCAATAAGCAAACAAAATATTAAGTCCTAGCTTTAAATTTGTGGAGATGAAAACATGTAGGGCAAACTTTAAAATGTAAATATTTAAGTGCAAATATGTCTACCAAAGCGCATAAGCTTTTGCACAGCTAAATTCATTTAGGTAAACAAATCAGGCTACTACTTTATAATCTTGTACTAGGGTAGAAAAAACAAAAAACAAAAAACAAAAAAAAAACAAAAACACCACATTTCAATGATAAAGAACAAATCAGTCACTCCAATGAGAACCCTATGAATTCATAGGTCAGTTATGCATAGCCCTTTCTGAAACAAGACATACACATAGTTTGGATTGATAGATTTACAGTTGTGATTAAACATGCACAAAATGGGAAAAAATTAAATTAAGGGGGGAAAAAAAAAAAAAAAAAAAAAAAAAATATTACTGATGCACATGCCTTTGCTTTAACTAAGCCTTTTTGCCATCTTTTGAAGCTTTTATTTTTCCAAGATAGTGAAAAAGCTTAGAGAAATTTTAGTAAGGTCAAAAGACAAACTAATATTTCAAGCTAACTGACATTACATAACATCTGTACATTCAGGTTTATAATTTGTGACGAAAACAGTATCTGGCCACAGTTACACACTGTCCACACACCGCATCCATGATTTTAACTTCAAGGCCAAAATGGCATACACATACTACCAGCAAAGCCTTAAATAGATTAAAAAAGTAATTTTAAATTTCTATATTTTTTATATTTTTTTATTTTAACATCTATTTTTCAAAAATATTTTCTTTTACCCTCTTTAGAGGGTTTCTAGGTTATGTCACAACCCTGAAACTGACATATGGCAGGTAATTTCTACAACGTAAAATATTTAAAATGAAAAAAAAAAAAACAAAACAAAAAACCAAAACAGAAAAAAAAAAAAAAAAAAAACATACTGATTTATATGCTTTTTTTTTTTTAAATCACATCTGGAACTCACTACCACCTCATATCCATTATCTGAGATGATTTTTGGATTCCATTATGTCCATGTTGTGTTAAACATATTTAATGACCATTTCCAATTTCAAAGTCTCTTTGCTGTCATCAGTCCAGTTAGAAATTTTAAATTAAAGACGAGAAGTTTTTACTTTGGTGATCTGGGTGGCACATATTGCTCCTTGCCATTACGCCGTGTTGCTCCCTGAGGTGAAGACCTGCGTCCAAACTGTCGTCTCTGTTCCCTGATTTTCCCTGCACCTCCTCTCTGGGTTCCATTGTTGCGATATCCAGGGGAATCTTTGACTTTTCCTTCAAGCTTCTCATGAGGCTTTTCAGTGTTTTTCTCTGGAGTAGTGCTTTCTTCATTTTTGGCAGGTGGTGCTATGTTGGAGCGAAGCTCACGAAGTGGCTGAACTGGAGCTGGTGTAGGCTCCTTAGGAGGTTTCTGACAAACTTCAGCATAACTTAATTTACGTGGTTCCTTGAAAAAGAGAAGAAAAAAAAAAAAAAAAAAACTTTAGAATTATAAAATGAGCAGCTTGGAAGTCAGTTTTTTCAGACCCAGTGGGGTAGATTTACTAAATCTGGAGTGTGCAACATCTGGTGCAGCTCTGGCAATAAAACCAAGAAACTAATTGGTTTTTATGCAAAGAATAACTGAACTAGCTGATGTTAAGATGATTGGCTACCATGCACAGCTACAACAGATCTTGAACTCTGCAGTTTTAGTAAATCAGCCCCAGTGTTTCTTACAAGTTACAGCATTTAGGATTAGAAAAGTCAAAGCGTTCAAATCTGGTACTCTAATCCCTCTAAAAGTGCATTTCCTTAGTATTCTTTAGTAACAGGCTGGAAAAAGAAGCCTTTACACATTAAAAACCCTTATAAATCAAGTAAATAGGCAATGTTCATTGGGTTCACCAACTAGTCCTGAGCACTGTCCATCTAAGTAGAGTAACCAATTTTAAACCAACTACCCCTTTTCTCAATATGGGGGCAAAAAATAGGTGACAGCCTGTATACGTGTAGCAATATATGCACGAGTGTACAGCCAATCACATTAAAGTGGTATTAAAACCAAACATATTGCAGCTTACCAATTCTAAGATGTGCTGGCAGCATTAGGGCCCGTTCACACAAAGCTGTGCATTCTAGCTGCAGTGAGCCAATGGTAGAAGGGTGATGTGGTGCATGATTCAGTGCATCACAAAGCTCCTTTTCTTTTGTTTGCCAAAATAACTTTATTTGAAGTGCACAAAAAGGGACTTCATTCATGTCAACGTACAGAAGCATGGTGCACTGCTGTACAGTAACATGCAATCCCATCCAGTGTACAAAGATTCAATATGAATAGGGCACTTGGAAAATAACTGTTGTGTGTCCTAGCAGTGATTGGTGTTTTAGTCTGGTCACTGCACTGTGTGAATTGGTTTGGTTTTTTTAAGCATTCGCTAATTTTCACCTGGTGATCCTGTCAGTAAGTTGTTTTACAAAAGAAAAACCTGACCTATAGATGTAGCAGACAGAGGGCTGAGGCAAACCATTTAACACCGACAGGGGTGCAATGATCCGCTTATATTTATGTAAAACCTTAATCTAAAAAAGGGTGGGGGGGGGGGGGGGGGGGGGGGGAGTTACTGTAAAAGTTAATAAAGTATTAGCGGGAGTTTGGCTTCAATTTGTTAAATGCACTAGTGGATTTAAAGACACTCACCTCCCTCCAGAAGGACAATGCTGTTGTCTAAAGGGGTCTCTGTGCACATTCACCCAGAATGCATGAGGTGTTACAGGCCACAGCTGAAAACACGGACAATAAACCTAGGTACTGCAGCCACTACATCTGATTGGTATAGCTGCATTATATTAGATTTTTTGTTTTGGGTTCAAATCGGCTTTAACTTTAGAAGACCATTTTCCTTTCCAATACATTTTTATTAAGGTTTTTCCAAATATGGAACAGTTGCATATGAATTTTATGATCCCTTATTTATGGTACTTTTTAAATGAATTGGCCACTATCATATACCAATTTAATGAAATGCTATTCTAACACATCAAATCACAAACTGGGAAAGAAATAGAGGTCATACCTTTGGGATCAGGTGTACACTTTGCTTTCAGGCTTTGTCCCCCCACTCCCCGTTAAGGAATGGCACCTTTGGGGAAAGACGGGGGGAGGTGGGTATCCGAATTTGACCCACTCCCAATGCAATCCCCTAAGGCTATCTGAAGCAGAAGTTGTCCTCCCTCTCCCTTCCCCCCCGTAGTGTTCTGGGACACGGGACAATTCACAAACTGCAGTGTAACTCAAGCAATGCACAGTGGGCACCCAGCTGTGAATATGCAAGCTGTCATAGCCGGTTACCCACACTGAAGATGCCAGCGTTAGGGACAGAAGACTGCCGATGAAACCAGCTGTGGCAAGGACACCGCTGGACCAAGGAACAGGTAAGTATTTTAAAAGTCAGCAACTACAGTTGTAGCTGCTGACTTTTTTCATTCAACTGGAACTCTGCTTTAGGTGGCAACAAAAGAAAAAACTCAACTAACCTTCCAGGACAAAAAAACAAAACAAAAAAGACAACAAGAAAAACAAAAAAACAACCATGCTGAGGGAATATACAGGGGATAGCTCCAACGGTTTCAATTGTCACCTTCAGAAGCCAGCAGTATAACAAACTTTTCTGAATTTGAGTGTCACAGAAATAATTTACATTGTACTTAGTGTCACTAAAGGAAAAACTCCTTTTATTTATGGATAGTGGAGAGGGATTAAAATGCGTCCATTTTTATTGCTGTCTGTGCCCCTGTTAAGGAGATTCACCCACTTTGTCCTGTTTACCCAGGGATGCTGAATTTATATAGCTAGACACCAGGGACATGTAGTTCCGGGAGCCAGGCAGGTAGGTTTTTTTTTTTTTTCTTTACCCTGTCAGGTGGAAGCATTCGGACAGCCGATTGCTTCCACACAGAGCCAGCATCTCACAACCCCCCCCCCGATGTGAGGTCTCCTGGGTTCCGCTTGCCCATCTGTGGGCCCGGGATCACCTCACCGTCATTGGCTAGAGGGGAGGGAGGTGAGCTAGCATGTCCCCTCATCACCTCCCCTTCTTGTCCTGACCCATAAGTTATGTTATGATGTCCGGCCATGGAGGAAAGAATGTAATGCGGTGTGAAGTGCACTGCATTACATTCAGGGGAGCACAGGCAAGACATCCAGGGTCTTTTAAACCTTGGATGTCTCAATAAAGAGAACCTTTCACGGAAAATCATCACAGGGGACAAAGTCCCCTATGTGATGAAAAAAAAAAAAAAAAAGTAAAGTTTTTTTTTTTTACTGTAAAAATAAAAAAAAGTTACAGCCAACAACGTAATATCTCCCCAAAAAATTGAGGCACCCCACCCTGATATATACACACATACAAACTTAAAAGCACACGCTGGAGCACCTACGCATGAAAATGTTGATTGCGGTACACGTTACATATTTCTGCGCATGCCAGAATGAAAAGCAACAATTCTAGCCAGACCTCCTCCATAACGCTAAACTGATGACCTATAAAGGAGCTTTAAAAATCGTCGTCTATAGAAAATATAGGGGAGTGAAGTTCGTTGCCATTTTATGAGTGCATGCAAATTTAACATTTAATATGTTGGACATTTACTAGATACAACCTCATCTTTTATATTTTACCAAAAAATAGAGTAATTTATTGCTTTTTTTGTGTCCTAAAATGAACTTGCTTGTATTGTTTTTACTGAAATTGTGCGGTAATATGCGAAAAAATTGGAACTACCACCATTTTATTCTCTAGGGTTTTCGGCTTTCAGAAAACATATGGTTGGGGGTTGTGTGTAATCTTCAAGCCTAAAATGATTTTTTTAAACTTGTGAAAATGCAAAAAACAGCTCTGGCAGCGAAAGAGATAAAGGCTAAGCCCAGCATTCCCCTTTCCTGAGGAGCACCCAATCAGTGCTCATTACACTGCAAGGTCTCTCCCATCCCTGCTAGTCCCAGAGTGTGGTGCTGGAGACAGGAGGGGAGGAGATATACAGTGCAGTTATAAATATTACATGTTTAAGTCACCATAAAGCCCCTTTTGTTTTTAAAAGCCCCAGACATTCCTAAAATCTGATTTAAATACGGTTTTGGTTTGAAAAAAAAATTTTTTTTATCAGGACAAAGTATTTTCATAAAGGAGTAGTAGAATTGGGGACCAGATTTAGTCCATGGACAAGTAGTTTTTTTAAAAAAAAATTCCACACCAGTGTTTATTATCATCGAAAGTGAAAGTAAAAATACTCAAGTTTTGGGTTAAAACAGGAAGAAAGGGGAATCTTCAAACGAGGACACTAGTTCTGGTGAAACTAGTATTTATTCACTGGAGTGATTTTCTCACTTTGTTCGGTTGACAGGAAGTGAGGGAAATCTCCCCAATGGGAAACATGGCAAAAAAAAAAAAAAAAAACACAAAACAAAAACACCTTGACAGGGGTTACAATCCTCCCTTACTATATGCAAAATGAAAAGGTTTGCCTTTAGTGACACTTAACTAATGCTTTTATACATGGATCAATGAACAGCTTTGTTCTGCACATATTCAAGATGAGAGGGATCTGTGAATGAATCTTGTATATGATATCGGATACAAAGCGGCATGTCTTTCAAAGCCCATTAATGTACTGATAAAGACTGCCAGAAAAAGCATTGCAGGATTCTCAAAGTAATGGATGTTGACATATAAATTACACATTATCAGTGTGATAAGTGACAAAACAAAAAGGCACTTACCTGTGTGCTCTGAGCAGGGCAGACACTTGCTATAGGTGCAGTGGTGGTAGGTTTGGGTGGTTTTACAGAAGTAGCATTGCACACTGGTAATACTGCCAATGTCTGGCTGGCAACGTCTTTGTGACAAGAAATTTCCGTACTTTTTTTCTCATTATTTGGATTACTAAAAATACACAATAAAAAAATGATATATGTATACCCTGTACAAAAGTAACCATCTCCAAATTAACTCGTTACCAGGCACCCATAACATCTGGTGCTACAAAGGAATCCAAGGAACCTCAATATTTATTTACTTCAGGTAAATCTAAAGCACTGTCAATTTACACAGCGCTTTACATATATATTGTACATTCACATCAGTCCCTAACCTTCAAGGAGTGCACAATGTAAGGTCCCTAACTCACATTCATACATATACAGTGGGGCAAAAAAGTATTTAGTCAGCCAGCAATTGTGCAAGTTCTCCCACTTAAAAAGATGAGAGGCCTGTAATTGGCATCATAGGTAGACCTCAACTATGAGAGACAAAATGAGAAAAAAAATCCAGACAATCACATTGGCTGATTTGGAAAGAATTTGTATAAAATTGTAGACCTGCACCAGGCTGGGAAGACTGAATCTGCAATAGGCAAGCAGCTTGGTGTGAACAAATCAACTGTGGGAGCAATAATTAGAAAATGCAAGACATACAAGACCACTGATAATCTCCCTCGATCTGGGGCTCCACGCAAGATCTCACCCCGTGGGGTCAAAATGATCACAAGAATGGTGAGCAAAAATCCCAGGACCACGCAGGGGGACCTAGTGAATGACCTGCAGAGAGCTGGGACCAACGTAACAAAGGTTACCATCAGCAACACACTACGCCGCCAGGGACTCAGATCCTGCAGTGCCAGGCGTGTCCTCCTGCTTAAGCCAGTACATGTCCGGGCCCGTCTGAAGTTTGCTAGAGAGCATTTGGATGATCCAGAAGAGGATTGGGAGAATGTCATATGGTCAGATGAAACCAAAATAGAACCGTTTGGTAGAAACACAACTCGTCATGTTTTGAAGGAGAGCGAATGCTGAGTTGCATCCAAAGAACACCATACCTACTGTGAAGTATGGGGGTGACAACATCATGCTTTGGGGCTGTTTCTCCGCAAAGGGACCAGGACGACTGATCCATGTACAGGACAGAATGAATGGGGCCAGGTATCGTGAGATTTTGAGTGCAAACCTCCTTCCATCAGCAAGGGCATTGAAGATGAAACGTGGCTGGGTCTTCCAACATGACAATGATCCCAAACATACCGCCCGGGCAATGAAGGAGTGGCTTCGTAAGAAGCATTTCAAGGTCCTGGAGTGGCCTAGCCAGTCTCCAGATCTCAACCCCATAGAAAACCTTTGGAGGGAGTTGAAAGTCCTTGTTGCCCAGCGACAGCCCCAAAACATCACTGCTCTAGAGGAGATCTGCATGGAGGAATGGGCCACCATACCAGCAACAGTGTGTGCCAACCTTGTGAAGACTTACAGGAAACGTTTGACCTCTGTCATTGCCAACAAAGGATATATAACAAAGTATTGAGAGATGAACTTTTGATATTGACCAAATACTTATTTTCCACCATAATTTGCAAATAAATTCTTTCCAAATCAGCCAATGTGATTGTCTGGATTTTTTTTTTCTCATTTTGTCTCTCATAGTTGAGGTCTACCTATGATCCCAATTACAGGCCTCTCTCATCTTTTTAAATGGGAGAACTTGCACAATTGGTGGACTGACTAAATACTTTTTTGCCCCACTGTACATACTAGGGCCACGTTAGACAGGAGCCAATTAACCCACCAGCATGTCTTTGGAGTGTTGGAGGAAACTGGAGTACCCAGAGGAAACAAACGCAGGCACAGAGAGACCATACAAACTCCAGGGCAGGTGGTACCGTGGTTGGGATGTGAACCAGCGACCCTAGTGCTGCCAAGCTGAAGTGCTAATTTAGCCACTGTGCTGCACATCAATAGTATAAAATCTCTCAGATCTCATAATCTTGCAATCATTGGAGGAAATACTACAGTCAGAGTATGGAATGAAAAAAAGGAAAAAAAAAAAAAAGGTGGGGGGAGAGGGAGGGAGCGAGAGAAAGAAAAAAAGATGGGGGGGGGGGGGGGGGGGGGAAGCTAACGACAAACTCAAATTGTAACTGAACATCCTTTTTTCCCCCTCTAAGTGTGATACTTCATCACAGGGTTAAATGAAGAGTGCTATCCACACATAATTTGTTCCGGCAGAAGTTTATTTGGCCCCAACCAGTGCACACTGTGGAAGTAAAAAAAAACATTTGTCAAAAAGAAACATTTGTCAAGAAGAAACCGAACCAAGGCAGGTCTGTTGCAGAGAACTGGTAACCTAAAGTCCACTGGAACATGGACACTTGCAAGAGTGCATTTCTATGGTAAATGTAGGAAATCGTAATAGCATGGAGGTCAACAGGAAGAACCAGTGTTGGGAGACCACAGATCGATACTTTTAAAAATGTAGATTTCACAGTTGACTTAAAGGGATCAGTTCTCTGCAAAGGAGCAGTGCAGGCAGCAGGAGAGGCAAGTATTCAGCACTGCAGTTAGGTTCTCAGCATACCAGTTCTCTGCAATGGAACAGTGTTGAGTGGCACAAGCAGCAGGAGAGAAGTATTTGGTCTCTTCACAGGTATGTGCTTCGGTGGAAAAAAAAAATGTATAAAAATGTGAAAAATGGCCGTTAACCCAGGTGCAGGAGATATTAATGGTTGACCTTTGGACCATTTCCAACCCTACCCCCTTGGTAAACCTTTTAGCCAAACATATAAGCAACAATTTCTGAATGCAATGGAAGTTTTTGTTTTAGGGGAAAAAAGTTATATGTAATAAAGAGCCAAGGGGGGTGGCCAGTTTCCTGTACTCCAAGGTAGAATCTTTGTTTACTATATATTCTTTTTCATCTCAACTGTACAGTAAAGGACATAGGCTGGAGCCTTAATAGACTCTGGAACATCCAAGAAACGAACGAAAAGGGTGGGCAAAAACTAGGCAAACAGAACTGTGGTAACAGGTCCAACAAGAGTTCGACCCAACTTGAGTGTAAATGCAAAAACCTTGTGGCCAAAAGACTCCTCAGAAGACTGGATGTCCATCTAGAACTTTGTAAGACTGCTAACTGGTCCTCTGTGCATACCTTTTCAAACCTGGGCCACAGAGCCTTGATGCAGGAATATCCCAATGGAGAGTGCAAAAAGCACAGGAGTTTTGTCCTCCCACAGTACACAGAACATGGAAATGCAATTTTAGTTAATAAAACTGCTAAAAACCTTTTCTCATCAACAGTTAGAGCAGTCTTGTGACTTCTAATCAGTGTTCAGCAGAGAACTGGTTAACGCTTGTAGGCGTTTTCTGTTATAGGAAGATTCAGAACCCATTACCTGTCTGGACAGTGGCAATAGGCCCTGTGCTGATCACACGCACTCTCAAGGAAAAAAAAGCAATACACACCAAACTGAGCATGTCCAGAGTGTCTCCACACAAAAGGACTTAACAGGAGATAAGCACCCGACCAACATGGAGACAAGGTGCTTTGGGGAGAGGCAAAGCTCCCCCTGCCCTAAACCCCCCCCCCCCCCCAAACATTAAGCGCAAGTGGCCTGGTATAGTTTAGGGGGACACTAGTGTGTCCACCCCCCTATTCCTGACCTGCCAGACTGCATGCTCAGATAAGGGCCTGGTATGGATTGGGGGGGGGGGCATACCCACACCTTATATTATGGCCTGGGGGTTCCCCTCAAAATCCCAAACAGATTCGAAGGGCCTGGTATGAATTGGGAGGGGACCGCCACACACAGTTTCTTAATTTGTAATTACCAGCATTTTTTTTTTTTTTTTTTTTAAAACAGGAAACCTGCTGAGGACTTGTCCCATTACTGCATGTTTTCACTAAAATCGCACAACTTCATAAAAACAAAAAATGCTGTATTTCCGTAGCTTTTTTTTTTTAGTGGATTCCAACAAACTTTTTGTGCGGTATCTTACCGCATACTTGGATGTGGTAAGATAGCACTTTGTGAATTGTCCACCCCCCCCCCCCCCCCCCCCCCCCCCCCCCCGAGAGAAGCAGATATCCCCCACTCTTAGGAATGAAAGTACCCTTCAAGAGGAAGGCTTTGGGGATCACTTGGTGGGCTTTGTGGTCTAAGTCATACACCGAAAGGGGGGGGCAAACTTGGGTTTAGCTGCTAAAGGGTTAAAAAAAAAAAAAAAAAAAAGAAAGGCTCCTGAGGAGAGGGGTTTACATTTTTGGCTGTGGAAGAAATCCTCTCTCCCAGTGGCATCTTCGATTAATTTGTTAAGCGTCTAACCATGTCCTCCATTTGTATGGTGTCTTACAGACAAGGACCAGGCTTTGAGCCACAGATACTGCACATAGTGGATGGACATTAGAGCCACTCCAGAAAATGTGTGCCATTACTTGTTTAGGGCATCCATACAAAAGAGCACAGCAAAAGTTAATAGCACAGTTTTAAAGCACCTGGAATAAAGGATTGTGTCTATTGTTCATTGCCCTAGTCCAGTTAGCTGCAATTTGACAGACAGAAATTGCAACAATAACTGGTTGCAGAGCTAGGCCTGCAAATGTAGAGCCTTTAAAAAGTCTCAAACTTTATCTGCAGAATCTCTGAATAAGGAACATCTTCAATTAGTACAGCAAGCCATTTAAGGTTGAGGTGGCAGATCTACTACCATAACAAGACCACTTCGACAATTTTTTCCACTGGATAGTTCGGCAAGGTTTTTCAGAAGGGCTGAAAATCTTTTCTGAATTGATCTAAATGTCAATTTGCCTAGGTCCAGCAGCATGATAATTTTCCCATTTTATTTGTTCCTAATGTCTATAATTTAGCAGGTCTCCTTGTACCTAATGGGCCATGGTGAGACAGATGCCAGTAAACAACGTCAATTCTTTTGCACATGGCTTAAGTGAGCATATCCACACTGACCAGCTTAATGCACAAAGCCAAATCAGGTGTACAAGCGTCTGGGGGTGAAAATTTCAAAATCTTCTGCAACCTCCTTTAAAGCCAAATCTGGGTCCTCTTCATTGTCTTTTATGCCTGTCTCTTTCAGGCTGGAAATATCCTGGATTAGATAGACATGGAGTTGGAGAAGAAGCCTGGCAGTCTGAGCACTGGAAGGCAATGGTTGTACTAAAGCTGTTGTCCAAGGAATTCTGACAGTTGCAGAAAAATCTGCCTTAGGGAGAAGGCTTGCTGTGTGCCGGAGATAGGGCTACAACTGGATGCAGATACTGGTGTTAAAAAAACAAAACAAAAAACGGGTCCTGCAAAGGAAGCATAATTTACACGAGGCTGAGTTGTGCAGATAAAGAGTAGTAGTATGAAGCAACCAATTTGCAGCCCATCCTGTTGAAGTACTTGTGATGAAAAGGGTAAAAAGTATCTGAGCATCTTAGTCAAGTGTGCGACCTGATAGATGTAACCCTTAGTCATCCAACTGAGACAGTCCTGAGTGATTGAAGTTTAACACCAGTTTGAAAAGGTTGCATCATAAAGTGAAGACATTTCAAATAGTCTTTTACATAAATGTTTAGAGATAAGGTAACCATGTCAACTGTCTACATTGCTGGTCCCTGTATTGGTCTCCTATCATGACAAGACTCAGATTCTGGATTCCACAGTGATGGACCATGCCCCTGAACCTGTATAGTACCCTGTGACCAATTAGAGCAATGTACAAATTGCAAAGGTAGTCATCTATGCAGGATCCAGTGCCCGAAGCAATACTACAGGCCGTTGCCACTTCGGCTAAGGCTCCTAAGTTTTTACCGAGGTTGCACTGATCCTGATTAACTGAATCTATCGTTGCATTAGAAGGCAGTGAATAGCTGGTTTAAGACTCAGAAGATAAAGTAGTTAAGCCAAGAGTGATCTCTCCATAAAGAGGGTCTATGAATACTCATGTCCTGTACTGTACGATTAAGATATACTATTGCACGCCAAAGCTGGCATAGAAGCCAAAAGAATCATTGTACTGGAGTGCTAGTAGTGGTATCTTAATACTGAGATAGGTATCTGGCCATCGATGATCAGGAAGTTTGGTTTCCTTTCCCAAACATGATATCTCTCTCTATATCTATCTATCCATATATTCAGCCAACTATTCCCATTCAAGCATGTACAAAGTTGGTTTACCTTGGAGGAGCCGGAAGTGGGGTAACATCCTCTGCAGTACTGTGTATGGAGCATGTCACTGACTGCGGAGGAGTGATTTTTGAAGGTTCATCCTGAGTATGAGTAGACATATTTGGAGGCAATTCTTTACTTTCCTTTAAGAAAAAAATTATTCTATTACTGGATAACAAAATAAATTTGTACTATTCATAATGCAAAGGTCAGTCAACTAAAACTTAATTTCAGTAACAGGGGAACACAGTAAGGTTGACTCACCAGCACAGCCTTTATCCATGGTCTTGAGATCTACGTACCTTAATCCCAAGTTGCTGCTAAAGTGCTACTAAAATCTTTATTTTTAAAAAACATATCATACTTACCCACTCTGTGCAATGGTTTTACACAAAGCAGACCAAATCCTCTCTGTCGAGTCCACCAACTGTGCTCGTGGCCCCTCCCTTCTTTTGAGTGCCCCCACAGCAAGTAGCTTGCTATGGGGGCACCCGAGCAGGCAAGCCACGGCTCTGAGTGCCATTCACACACAATGGCAGCTGGGTCCTGCACCTCCTCAATTTGCTCACAGTCAATGGGACCAATACCTTCTGCTGCAGCCTCAGCCAATCAGGAGTGAGTCCCTGGAGAACCGAAACTCTCATGGATAATGCCGTATCGAGAGGAGGCTCAGGTAAGCATTAGGGGGGCTGCTACACAAAGAAGGGTTTTACCTTCATGCAAAGAATGCATGAATGTAAAAAAACATTGAGCCTTTAGAACCACTTTCATATCAAGTAGGGGAGGGTTACAACCCCTGTGGAGTTTGTGTCCATCTATCTCCCACGGAGAGCCTATTCTCCCCCCCAATTCGTGTCCCAAAGCCAAAGTGAAGTGAGGCAACTAGAGCCCATATTGGTGGATTTTCCTTGCATTTATTAATCAACAGTCAGTAGAACAAACAGGTGCACAGACACTTATTCTCTACTCAAAAGTTTAGTCTCAGTTATACTTAAATCCAAATGAGCAACTACAGAAATAACAGTGTACAAAGGGATGGCAAGGTATTCAGGCATATAAGCAAAAGATCCTGTTGGACAATACCCACTTTTTCTTTGCAAATCCCTTTCACAACATCAGCCATCCTGCTTTCAAGTACCGGCTCTCCAGGTGTGCTTGCTATACTTCCAGGCAGTGGAGGAAAATTGGATGCTAATAAGTCAAACTTTGGTGTCTGTGCCATATCTTCCATTGTAGTCAAAGGGTGCTGAAATAAAGATGAACAAATGAATGTTTATCAGGCCAAACTTTTCAGTACACAGGAAAAAAAAAAAAAAAAAAAAAAAAAAAAAGGATAGCCCTCAGATCTCATAATCTTGCGATCATTGAGAAGACTGAACAAACCTGGTCTGAGTAGAAGAAGAGTGATCAGAAAGTATAAGATGGATAAAAGAAATGAGTAAAGAATGAAAAGGATAAGCTCAGACGTCCGAATGTCCAGCCCTATTCCCTCTAAGCGCGATACTTGATCATCACTGGGCAGTAAAATAAAACAATCCTACTTCTGCAGCTAATGCCATTAATAAGAACCCCTTTTAGGAAAACTATATTCAAAAGAATATGGATGTTTACACCATCTTGAAAAACCCGATGGCATAAATGCAGTAGCTGATCTGAAGAACCACTAGTGAAGGCAACAAATTAGCTGCAAAATAACTGGCTAAAGCACAACTGTACAGTGTGCAATGCAAAACCAGAATATTTTCTATTAGCTGCAGGACAGGCATGTAACTAAATTTGTAAACTGACCTAAAGTGGTTGTAAAGGCTCAAGGTTTTTTACCTTCATGCATTATATGCATGAAGGTAAAAAACCTGTGCCGCATTCCCCCAACTTCCCCCTAGTACTTGCCTAAGCTCCCTCTCGATACAGCGATGTGCACTGGAGTCTTGGCTATCCCAGGACTTCCTCACCTCATTTGGCAGAGACAGCAGCATGAGCCATTGGTTCCTGCTGTCAATCACAGCTGGTGAGAATGAGAAGAGATGGCAGAGCCAAGCTACAGCTCCACGTATGAATGGACACGGAGCAGCGGTTGGGGAGTGCGCATGCTCAGGTGCTCCACAGCAAGCTGCTTGCTGTGGGGACACCTCACAGGAGGGAGGGTCCAGGAGCGCCAGCGGAGCACCTGAGAAAAGGATCTGGGCTGCTCGGTGCAAAACCACTGAACACAGCAGGTAAAGACTTTTTAAGTCTTTAGAATCACCAAGTTAAACTAGAATTCCAGCCAAACCGTTTTGGAAAAAGTGGGAAGGGTTAGAGCACCTGGGAGGTTTTTACTGCTCTCCTGACTGGCAAGACTTCCCCTTAATTTTTCTATGGTCACAGGAGAGGAAAGGAGTATAATCTCCCCAATGGCAGTCACCAATAATAAAGATTAGTGCATTTGCTGTAAAAAAAAAAAAACCCTTGGAGGCCATTGTAAAGCACAGGAATTCAATTGTCAGATTATACTGCCACCTACAAGACTGGACACTTGCAAACAGACTGCATGCCAGCCACAGGACAACCCGTCTTCTACCCAGCAAGATTACTCAGCAGCAGATAGTATCAGGAGCACCAACAGTGGAGAGACCTGTGCCCCAAGGGGGATATATGAATTCACATACTGTCAGGACATCCAAAACAGTCCAAGTGAGGGGTGGGAAACATGGCAACCATCACCAGCTAGTTCATCTAGAGAACTGGACATTGCTTGCAGTCCAGACAATGCCTAAAAGCCCCGAAGCAGAACTAGATGAGACTAATCCCCACCGGGGAACCTGTGAGCACAATTAAAGTGAGGGCATGGAAAACCAACCTGACGCTCAGACCTGATGTCACTACCAGTGGGCAAGACTGCACACAGGTAGAAACAAACTGAAGGTAAAACATAATTCCCAAAAGGAATAAGAACCCACAACGTAACGTGATTAACTGAAAAGAGGAATACCTCCTTAAATGAACAAGCCCAGGAAGTGGCATAAAATTATATAGGTGCAGGGGATAATGACCAGCTGGTCTACAAGGAAGGTCTCAGTACTCTAAAATTCCTGATCTTCTAGGATGGATGAGAGACCAAAAACCACAGTTAATGCAGTAGAAATATCAACAGCATCATTAATGCCAGAAACAATCCCTGTAATTCTTGGGTGACAGCAGGCAACTGGATGCTTTAAGCACAGTCTTCCATAGAACAAGTCTGTCAAATGGTCACAGCAACTGGTGGCCTGGTCTGTTTTAAGTTCATGGTACAATCAGACAATGCAGGGAATGTCACTGGAGCATGAATCGAGTTTCTGCAGCTGGTACCCAAGAGGAACTCGGTGAGAGCATAATGTCCTGATTTTACATGGAAAGGACTCTGCTTCACCAGACAGAGCTGAAGGGGACTCGAATGACGCAGGCCCTGTACCAATATGTCTCCAGATTCTAGATTACATACATTTGATGCCTCAGAGGATACATGGTAGACACCCTAGAACCATTTGAGAAGTGTGGGCTGAGGTCTCCTACAGTAGTGAGGCTGGCTCCTGGGTTTACATGCAGGCATGTATCCAACCGGCAGTACAGCAATTAGGCCCAGAACGCAAGGTTTAGCACGGAAAAGAATCAGATAGAGGTCACTGTAGGTGGGCAGTGGAATGGACTGGCGTTCCAAGTGGTGCTTGCAAAGCAGGAGCAGCAGTGGGCAGCTTCCTCCAAGCAAAATGTTAGAGAAAGTTTGAAACAGGAACACTTCCCCCAATTGATACCTTTGGGCTCAGTCACCATTAACCCTTATCACAGTAACAGCAGTGGCAAGAAATCAGAAGAAAAAAAAAAAAAAAAAAAAGCAATGAGGAGTGAAACACCATCATAGACCGGCAGTAATTGCAGACCTGGAAAAACACCTCAAATAACTTTTAGCAGTACACTCAGTCCTGGAAAGCACCACACCGCAGAGCCCCGTGCCAAAGGTCACATTACAGACCCAATTGGGTCCAGCACTCTAAAGCCAAGCTAGGGAAAGGCTAGTCCAGATAGCTGCTATGTAGAGACAAGCATAAAGGGTTATTAGTCTACCTTAAATAAAAAAACAAAAAAAAAAAAACTTGAAAGCTCAAACCCTACATCCACCCGGTTACTTGCTGTGCCCGCCCCGCCATGGGTGATGAGCTGTCAGTGCCCACGCAACCAGTGCAGCTATCTGGGGATTTGTAAAGATTTGTACTGGGTGGTGATTTCATCTGCCAGCACTGACCAATCAAAACATACATACATCATACATCCCAGAAGCCCTGCAGAATGAAGGGGGAGAAGAGTGGAGCTGTACTGGCAGTGTGGCAACTAACAGCTATTCATCAGCAGAGATGTGAGGAAAGAGGTGAACTTACACTTTAAGCAGCAGTGCAGTAAGGAATCCTACAGCCAATGGAAAAAGAATCCAAGGAAATATTCAAATAGAAGGCTAGCAAAATGTTCTTCTATCCGAAGGTAGCAAAGCAAAGAAAAAAAAAAAAAAAAAAAAAAAAAAAGGAGGCATTCTGGCTAGTGTTTTTCTGGCATTGGCCTACACTTTTTTTTTTTTTCGTTTGCCAGAGTGCAATGCTAATGTAGGTGGCAGTGCAACCCAACAGTATCTGAATTGTTCCTAATGGATGAGAAAGGCAGGCATTTGTTTTAGCAGCCTGATAAGCATAGTTCTAGAAACAAAACATACATATATAGTAATATATATTACACACACATACACTACTGTACATAGGTTTTAGCTAGGTGCAAACTACTGTAAGTTTTGGAAGTGATGGCCCCTTACTGTTGCAACATGGCTGCACACCAGTGTACAAAGCAAGGTCCATAAAGACATGGATGAGAGAGTTTGGGGGGGGTGGAACTTGACTGGCCTGCACAGAGTCCTGACCTTAATCCGATAAACACCTTTGGGATGAATTTGATTGCAAGCCAGGCCTTCTCATCCAACATCAGCGCCTGACCTAACAAATGAGCTTCTGGAAGAATGGTCAAACATTCCCATAGACACTCCTAAACCTTGTGGACAGCCTTCCCAGAAGAGTTGAAGCTGTTATAGCTGCAAAGGGTAGACCACCTCAATATCGAACCCTACGGACTAAGATGCCATTAAAGTCAAAGTGCATGTAAAGGCAGGCATACCAATACTCTTAGGCAGGTGTGAAAAAAGGCTGTAAAAATTAATGCATTCAGAAATAGCTTTAATAATTTTAATACAAAAATAAGTAAATGGAGAAGAGAAATCAAATAAAAATTTGGTGTGACCACCCTTTCCCTTTAAAACTGTATACATTCTTCTAGAATCAATACTTCTAAAACCAAATGATGGGACATGCTTTACTTCTACTGATGCTACAACACTTTCTACTCCCAATGTCTGGCCTCACCTAAAGCCTGAAGGACAGTAAGCTGGCCCTTTGTTTAGAAAGTATGGATACCCCTGTTATAGAGTAAACCGTGAATTCAAAGTTCAAACATATCATACATGTTTCACTTACCATGGGCTAACGCCTAAATCAAAACCAGCAAAAGTAAAACTACAAACTTACAGTGGTGCGGTCATCATCTCTTCGTCTTCTGCCTCTAAAAGCACTTCTCCTGCAATAGGGAGTAAAAAAAGAATGTGTAAATTGTCATAAGAAGTGCAATACACCAATTCAAAAAAAGTTAGGATGCTGTGTAAAATCTACATAAAAACAAATGATAAACAATAGTTTAACAATCGTTAATGATGTGCAAATCTTGAAGTAATATTTTATTCACAATAGAAAACCTATCAAATGTTTAAGCTGAGAATGTCCCATGAAAAAAAAAAAAAAAAAAAACTTGGGTAATTTTGAAAATATGGCAGCAACACATCTCAAAAAAGTCAGGACAGGGCAACAAAAAGCTGGCAAAGTGGTCCTAACAAGGATGAGCTGGAAGAAAACTGTGCAACTAATTAGGTCATTAATAGGTCAGTAACATGATTGAGTATAAAAAAAGGACATCTTAGAGAGTGTCTAAGGAGTAAATATGGGCAAAGGTTCACCAATCAGAGAAGCTGCATCCAAAAAAAAAAAAAAAAAAAACAAATATTAAAAAGACAGATGGGAAGAGCCTGTGTCCTGTACACGGAGATGAGCAATTTACAGGCAAGTCAAAATTCCTATTACATTCTTCATACAGTTGAGTCAAAACCTGTCAATTGAGGGTATGCAGGGCTAGACGATGGTCAAGAGCAGACTGAAGTATAATCAAAATATTAGGGTATTCCCTGGGACTTCTGTTCTCACAACAGGCGCAAAGCTGGCATATCATGATTTCGTGCCATATATTGCTTAAATCAGCAAGAAGCAAAATGAAATGGGGGCCATAGTAAGTCTAGTCTCTTTGGAAGACACCAAAGATCAACCAAAAATCCAAGTATGTCTGTGTAGCATGTCCTCTTGGGCCAGTTTAGAGTAATGAGAATCACAGAACCCTTTGCTTATTTTTCACAGCAAGCGATGGAGGACCTTAAGAGGAAAGACCTATACCAGCTGGATTTGAATCAAAGGAAGAATTTACCATGGAAGCTAGTAATGGCTGAAACATTGTTTGAACCAGGGAGGCCAGATTTTTACATCTGTCTTTCCCCACCTTGTCTTGATAACGTAGGAAGTCCACCTGGTAACTCCACTCCAGGGATGCAGACAGCTGGGAAAACTTGAATGTGAGCTTCTACTTAGGTGTATCAGACTTTTTTCCTTAGTGGAGCCTGACCTCCGGGTCTCCCTTGATGGTTTATGTACGCCACTGTTTAACTGTACCCTGACTAGGTGAACCTGCAGAAGTCCAATGTTGTAGAGATAATCTGATGGCTCAATTCCAAAACGTTGCTGGGGAGTTTTCACTCCTCTGGGGGACCCTGTTCCCTGGAAGGGTCAGGGAGTTTTAATTCCTCTCTCAGCCTAAGGTTGGCATCTATTGTCACCACCTCCCAGGACATATGAAGAAAGATTTTTCCAACTTAAGGACTGAATATCCACCAGGCCAAGGATAAAACTGTTTAGCTAGACAGAAGCACTGGGCGATTCAAGGATTGGATTTGCTTGCTCCATGTCATAAGTATGTTGGATTGAAGAGATCTGGAGTGAAACCACGCAAAGGAAATTGCCACAAAAAAGGAGGCTACCAACAAACCCAGAACCCTCGTGCTTACTTCTCCTAATAGTCTGGCTTGGCCTATATCCAAGATTAAGTCCAGGTACGACAGTGTGATTCGCTGGATAGCAAACTTTGGAATTTTGATTACCCAGCCAAAGGTTTAAAAAGGACCTGAACTTTCCTTTGAACACTGGCAGATGAGGTTGAGTTTACTTCAGGAGGAGGTCATCCCGTATAACCCTTGACATGAATGTTCAGAATCTGCAGAAAGGCTAGAAGCATGGCAAGCACTTTTGTAAATATTTGGTGTGCAGAACAGTCACACACAAAGCATTGAAGTGAGATGTGGCTGTGTAGATTGGCATCTTGTAAGTCTAGTCAGATATAAATAACAAATCTTGTTGATTCCATGCAGAATTTTTTTGCACTATTTTTCTTAGCCTGCAGATCATTGCACCCCAGATCAGTTTATCGCAGGTGCAATCTCAGACGACTTCTCAGCACACTGTGCACAACTTCCATACAGGCAGTTACTGAAGAGCAGGAAGAATTAAACTACGAAGGTACTCACCAATGCTCACAATTCGAATGAATGAGCTACAAGCCCTGTCATTGAAGCAGATGGCTTGTAGTTCTCAAACTCTGAACGAATGGCACAGCTGTGTGGACGAAACCCTGCACAGCTATGCAGTTTTTAAATTGTGAAAGCAGGTGCGGGGAAAGGATCCCCGCCCGCTGTTACAAAAGGGGGATCAGGGGGTGCGGGGCTGGTGCTTTAGTAGCATGTTACACCTTGAAAATGGGTGTAACATATTACTAAAGAAACTTTTTCTAATCCTTTGGTTTGCCTTTGTAAACAGTCTGTCTTCGCTAAAATAATCACAAATGGTTCCATGCTGAAAAAGCTAATGCCCAAGACAGCAAAACATACTAAAGAAACGTAGGACAATCCAGGAATGTTGCATATATAAATGGTAATAGGAGTGATTACATCTTGTCAATACATCCTCTACCAGTTTCACATGCCTTGGCAGGCTGTAATAACCTAGTTATTCAAGCAACAAAATGGGGCATTACCAAAAAACTTAAACAGGGGAAGGAGAGGCCAGTAGTGGACTGCGGAAACAATGCAGACTGCCTTCTTTACCACTGTGTCTGGAGTTATTTGACAAAATCTCTGCACTTCTAGTACATTCACTTTCCAGAGGCCAGTAACGTTACATGTAGTTTCTTCCCCGATCAGATTCAAGATTTAGAGGCGGAACCTTTGACTTGAATATATTATGGAGGAAAGTATCATAGATTCCAATTTTGCAGTGAAGACTGCAGAGGATTTCCCTTCCCCAGCATTCTATGCTCACCGGCCACTTTATTAGGTACAACTGTTTAATTGCTTGGTAACACAATTGCTAATCAGCCAAACACATGGCAGCAACGCAATGCATTTGGGCATCTAGACTTGAAGACTTTACGTTTAAACAGATCAGAATGTGGAAGAAAGGGGATTTAAGTGACTTTGAACGTGGCATGGCTCTTATGCCAGATGGGCTGGTTTAAGTATTTCAAAAACTGCTGATCTATTGGGATTTCACACACAACCATCTCTAGGGTTTACAGAGTTGTCTGAAAAAGAATATCCAGTGAGCAGCAGTTGTGTGGATGAAAATGCCTTCTTGATGTTGGAGGAGAATGGGCAGACTGGTTAGAGATTACAGAAATGCAACAGTAACAACCACTCATTACAACCAAGGTATTCAGAATACCACCACTGAACGCACAACACGTCAAACCTTAAAACAGATGAGCTACAGCAGACCACACCGGATGCAAATATAACCCATCTTCTGATGGCTACATCCAGCAGAATAATGCACCAGGTCACAAAGCTCAGATCATCTCAAACTGGTTTCTTGAACATGACAATGAGTTCACTGTACTCCAATGGCCTCCACAGTCAACAGATCTCAATCCAATAGAGCACCTTTGGGATGTGGTGGAATGGGAGATGTATGGCTTCATGCCAAATGCTTTCTACTGTGGGCATACTAATTGATATTCTGCTAGCTAGTCCTTGCCTAGCAGCACCTGTCTATGGTCACTAAGAAACTGGCTGAGTCTAGACTTTTTCCCAATACAGGGGGTATAGAGAAGAATACCTACTGTATTGGAAAAAAGTCTAGACTCAGCCAGTTTCTTAGTAACCATAGTCCGGTACTGCTAGGCAAGGACTAGCTAGGAGAACATCAATTAGTATGCCCACAGTAGAAAGCATAGGAAGAGGTCCACAAATGATTAAATTTGTCCCCTGTGCATACAAACAGTACTGTGCAAAAAAAAAACAAGAAAAAGAAAAAAACATGCAGTATGGCATACCTGCCTCGGACCCCTCCATCTGAACCATTCTGCTCTGGATGTAGAGACAATGTGTCTTTTGAAAAAAACATCCTGGTGCCCGGTTAAAGATGTGTTGTGCCTTTCTGTGGGGAAAGAGCGTGCTCTATTTACATTTAGGTCTGCTAATGATACAGGACCTGTTGTGCCACTGTCAGTCCTTTCTGAAGAGTTTGTGGATGATCGAAATTGAGTCTTCACACTGAAATGGAAACAAAAACACCCTTAGTGCAGTCTTGCATTAAAAAAGAAAAAAATCCAAACATAAAAAAGAAACTCAAACTGCAATTCCAAGCTAGAACAAGGTTTTGAGAAATTTCCTGCAATTTTACATTACGCAAGTGGTTCTAAAGCAGACATTTACCTTAATGCAAGCAGCTTCCCCCACCCCTCCCTTACACTTACCTGAGCCTGACCTCTTGGTTCAGTGATGTGCACGAGGGCAGAGGCTCACGCCCTCACAGGCTCATGGAGAACAGTGTAAGCCATTGGCTCCTGCTGTGGTCAATCACAGCCAGTGAGGGAGGGTGCTGGGCCAAAGCCCCACTGTCAGTAGACAGCAGGGGTCGGGAGTGAGCAAGCACCAGTGCCCACATAGCAAACAACTTGGTATGGGGGCACTCTGCAAGAGGAGGATCCAGGAGCTCTGGCAGGGGACCCCAAAAGAAGAGGATCGGGCCTGCTCTGTGCAAACTCATTGGAGAGAAATCCAGAAAGTCTTGCTACACTTTTGCGGTGGTCTTTGCTAGACAATTTAAGCTCTCCCTTGTTCACCCACTGCCATCAGCAAAATCAGCTATTAAAGTAGATAGCCCTCTTTCCTGCCAGCAGTATGTTTTTTACACCAAGCTCTGGTTCAAACTAAATGCAGCTTTGAAATCAAGTGAAATAGCAAATTTTTAAAGCCGCTGATCAGTGCGATTTTATGTGCGGCTTGTCTTACATTTGTGTGGTTTAATGCACAGATGACTATGCAAGTCACACATCAAATCACCAAAAATAGTGCAGGAACCTTTTATCAAAATCAGTGCTGCACCACAAGGAGTGACACCAATTTGAATGGTTCCATAGGCACAAATAGGGTGCGACTTGCAATGCAATTTTGAACTGTCAAAATCACATGACAAGTTGCACCAGTGTGAAGCCTAGGTTCACACTTATCCAATGTGGGAAGCAATTTTACACATTAACCCGCAGGCAAAACTCACTGCTCTTTGGCAGATGCAATTCGGAATGGCACCTGCACAGACATGTTGCATTTACGAGTTCTAGTGCGTTTACGTATGAAAAATGCAGTTTGGTGTGTCCTTTTTTTAAAAGCGCAAAAGCAGCACTATGGTATAGTTTAGGCTCAATGAATTACTTTCATATGTCGTTCACTGCATATGGTGTAAACAAGCCCTTAAGTCTCAAATGTAAGGCACCGCCACAAAGTAAAGTGGCACTAGTTATAGATAGGCAGACTAATTTGATATTCAAAAAGATAATGGCACATATCTTATGTACTCCTACACAAATTCTACCTTTGCCAGTTTTAAATGCCTGATGGGGTAAAATAGAACTCTGTTCAAAACTAAAAAAAAAAAAAAAAAAAAAAAAGTTTTGCCTTTAGTTATACTTTAAGTTAACACCTTTCCTGTGTGCAGTGTGCACACATTTATGCGGCCTCACAGGACTGGGTCTTTGAGTGGAACAAGCCATTTTTGTGCTGACAGCATGCTGCACAAAGCTCCAGGTCTCGTACCAACAATCAGAAAATGAGAGGACTGGGCTCCTGATCATTATAACCAGTCACTGTACAGCCCACGCCTGTTTTTTTCTCCTTTTGAAAAGATACACTGCATCTTTTTCTCCTTGCTAGAGGCAAATTGTAAACAAAGTACCAAAAAAAATTTAAGATAAATCAGCCAGATCAGGGTTTGATCTAAGTCAGTGTCAGGGTTAGATTCTAAAGTCATGCTTTGATATAAAGCTGGGTGAAAGGTCAGGGTAGAGGGGGGGGGAAAAAAAAAAAAAAAAAAAAAAAAAAAAAAAAAAAAAAAAAAAAAAAAAAAAAAAGGATTCTGCACTATTATTTCGATGCCCTACTATGGGTACAAACAAATACACATGGTATTGAAGTAGCAGAATTTGCTTTAAAGTGGTCCTAAAGCCTAGACATTTTATACTGATATACTGCTACAGGGCGGCAGGGGTGTGCAAAATCATATATGTGCGATCTTGCATTTCTGGGTATGAAAAGGTTTAGCACTGATCACTGTATTGGTATCACTGGGGATGTAAGTGACACTAAGTCAGTTCCCCCTAGTGTCAGAATGCCTGCGGCAGTCCCGCTATAAGTCAGTGATCGCCCCCATTATTAGTAAAAGAATAAAAAATAAAATTCTAGTATCTATAACGCCATTTTTAAACGCTGTAACTTTCACGTAAACCAATTTACACGTATTGGGATATTTTTTTTTAGCAAAGACATGTAGCAGAATACATTTTGGCCTAATTTTTTTTATTTATTTATTTTTAACTGGACATGTTTAATAGCAAAAAGTCAAAAATATTGTTTCTCAAAATGGTCGGGTGTTTTTATAAAGCAAAAAATGCACAGGCGATCAAACACCACCAAAAGAAAGCTCAAATCGTGGGGGAAAATAAAGGACGTAAATTTCATTTGAGTGCAGCGTTGCATGACCGCGTAATTGTCAGTTAAACAACGCAGTGCCGTAACGCAAAAAGTGGTCTGGTCAGGAAGGGAGGTAAATCCTCAGGAGGGTAAGTGGTTAATGCAAAAAAAAACGGTTTATGCATCGGTAGTGGCCCTTCACTTCCCCTCATACTTACCTGAACTCTAATTTGATCCAGCTCTGTAGCTCTTCACTGCCATCAATTCTAGGTTTCACAGCCTAGGCTTTGCTGAGACAGCAGGAGCCAATGGCTCCCACTGCTGTCAAAGCCAATGACAAGGGAGTCACGGGCAGGGCTGAGTCCCACTGTCAATGGACACAGCAGCAGGGCAGGGAGCAAACCAGTACAAGTGCCCCCTATGGGAAACTGCTTCCCACTGGAGACACTTGGCAGAGGGGAAGGGGCCAGGAGTGTCATCAGGGACCCAAGAAGAGGAGGTTTGGGGCCACTCCATTCTACAGCGCAGCCATGAATAGACATGTTATTAAAAAAAAAAAAATCCTTTACAACTTTAAGCTGTTCTTTTAGTTTACGGTAATAGCAAGAAAAACAAAGCTACATTTTTCAAAATATATTTTACAAAAAAAAAAAAAAAAAAGCAACACAGGAGATATCTTACTATTAACTACCAAAAGCATTTTTTTTGGCAAACTTGTTGCTGGGCAGATTAAAAAAGCAAAATGTGTCCGCCTCAAAAACCGCTGGGAGGTGGATGTGGGGGAGCAGGATGATGAAATGTGGGAGGAGGTGTTGTCCTCGACTAAGACGGTTTCGGACCGACTCTCACTCAGCTATATATTATACACGACACCAATTTGATTGTCTAAAGACAGGCCACAACATAGCCCGCTTTGCCCTAAATGTGGAGACCCTGACAGTACTTTTTTTCATTTAATATGGTCTTGTCCCCTCATTCGGGGTTACTGGTCTCAAGTGGTCCATTTCCTTCATAACAAAATGGGCTCTCCCCTTACCCTCTGCCCTAAGCAGTGCCTACTCTGTCTTCTTCCTAGTTCAGAAACCGACAAAATTTCAGACTATTTTTGCAAGAGACGCTATTTGAGGCTAGATTATTGCTTGCTCATATGTGGTTGCAGGCGTTGTCGCCTACGTTTTCACAGTGGGTAGCTGCGGTAAATAGTACTTTACCATATAAGAAGGTCATTTATATACAGATAGGATGCCCTGCTAAATATCAAAGTTTGGGATAAATGGCTCAACTCTACGTTTACTTGTGATGAGGAGGAGGAATGATTACTCTCTGTAAATCTATTATGTTGGTTATTATGCTGGTCCTCCTTTCCTTGCGGCAAAGGCTCTACAATCTGTATAATGCATTACTAGCTTGTATAAAATCGACCTGTGTTTGTTTTCATTGTATATGTGATGCGACTGCATGTCTGTTCTCAAAAAGTTTGCTTAATACAAAAAAGAAAAAAAAAAAAAAAAAAAAAATACGTGAAAACATGTCAAACCACACTACATGGGTTTTCTGCACTGTCTCAATTGAATCAAAAATGCAATGTCCCTGACCCTTTCCAAAAAACGCAGTAGTTCAAAAAAAAGCATAGATGTGAACGTGTCCCATAGGAAATCATGTTAAATGGAGTAGTGTGTTTCTGCAAAAAGCCCTAAAAAATGCACTCGTGTGAACCAGGCCTCAGTGGGGAGGTGCATTTTTTAACTCACCATATACACAACAAAAATGCAGCAAGCAGGATTGGACCAGTGTCAATACGTTGAATTTAAAGATGCATTTTTCTTGTGTTTTTGTTTTGTTTTTGTTAAATCGCTTCAAACACTGCTCAGTGAAAAAGCAGCCTACTGGCCAAAAAAGTGTTGAAAATAAATTCATATTTAAATTCATGATATGAATATAAAAGACTAATATTTTATATATATATATTATATATATATATATATATATATATATATATATATATATATATATATATATATATATATATATATATATATATATGTTTATTTTTTTTTGGTTTTCGGCCAAATGCATCCTGAATTTCCTGTCTCAAAGAATTTTCATTTCGCAGCACCACTAGTGGCAAGTAACTAGTTTGACATCCAGTATGCTTTAGAAAATCTTTATTACCACCAGTTCAAAGAACGCTTTAGTATATAGTCAAATTAAATTTACTATAAGCTACATATTAGATAAGTAAAACCAGTAAAAAAAATAAAAAAATTAAACCTAAAAAACTCTCAAGCAGTGGAAAAAACACAAAGGTTCAGCTGGCAATCAGCACTGGAAAATATCACACAGGTTCTACCCATGCAAGCAGAAATCAATGCAGACAATGGAAATAAGCTGAAAGTGTCCCCTACATGCCCTGTTATAACATTTTAACTCAGCCTGTGACCTTACAGAACTCAAACCTACCTAGTCATTAACAAATGAGAAGCTAGCTGAACCATTCCAGAAAGCTTGTCAGACAGTTTTAACACAATACATTGAATTGCTAAAACTATTCTTTTGTTTGCAGAGCTGAATGTCAGTCCTCTTTGCAGATGTTTAACATGCCTTTTCCAGCAGTAGAGTAAATGGACATGAAGCACTTGCTGCATATAACAGAACAAGTTATTACATTTAAAAAGGCAATTGAAAAAGGCAACCACACTCTGCATTAACAGTTATTGTTGATATAAATTATTAATTTATCACAATACAAAGTATACCTAGACCTATATATACACATACCGGCCTCTATGGAAAGGTCTTCCTATACTTATTGAGGCAGAACTTGTTTTATAAGAGCCTGAAGAATTAAAACCATTCACAAAGCCACCATTAGGAAACGGAGCCTGCAGAAAAGAAAAAAAAAAAAAAAAAGGATTTGTTAGATGCTGAATTTATATAGTAGGATGTGATCAAAGTTTAGTTTAATTTCTTCCTCCTGGGTACCATTTTAAGCAACCAATATTACCTTCTGGTACATTATACCCAACAAAGCCCCATGATCAGAGTTTCAGCAAAGATTTAAATACTGTTCCTTTCACTGCTGTGAAGGCCGCAAATTAAATTTTTGTACTCAGCAGAAATCATTTTCCTTGGGGCTTATTGTGGCAAATATAACTTTTGGGTTAAGCTGCCACCTACAGGAGGATTGCAAACCAGTGATAACACTCAGACCAGCCCAGGATAACTCCTATAACCAGCAACGTCCTTAGAAGCAAAGCAATACAAAGGAGCATGATCATAAACCAAGCCGTGTGGCCCTCAATGGACTCAAGATTTTACAGCGAGAAAAAAACCCAAAAACTTTTTTTCATCCAGTGTCAAGTCTAACTTACCCAGTGATTAAGGAATGAGAAGCTAGCTGAAGGTAGAGTCCCATAATACCACAGGCCAAGTTAAAAACTTGGCACTGCCTGCAGCTTGAGTAGGTGCCTGAAGGACCACATGCCCAAAGCTGGCATCTGTTAAGTCTCAATGTACATCTGGTAGAGCATATGACTAAGGGCACACGCCTTGACCACTTAGGGTGGAACCCAGTCCTTTAGACAATAAGCCTGGATGATGGTTTCTGAGTCACTTAGAAATGGTGGCAAGAGAAGCCAGAGCAACCTTCTGGGGTCCATCTGGGACAAGAATAAGTTATCCTGAGGAAAGGGAAAAAAAAACCCCCACAGAAGCTGAGAGAAACTCACAGCCCAAACCACATCCAGTAGAGAACTTTCCTTTGGGCAAGTTGAAGCCAGGGTACAAAAGAAAGATGTCCAGGTTTAGGTAGAAGCTGCATAAGGAACTAAAGGGAGACCTATAGCTCAATACCACTTTCCTATGGAAACCAGAAAGGGTTGCTTGTAGGATAAAGCTGTTCAAATGCTCACTTAGCATAGGTGATGGCAATAAGACCACTTTGTTCATAAGAGTAAAGAATAAAAACAGCTATTTCTCAAAGAACCAGATCTCATGAAGTGAGAGGAATGGATGGGGAGAAACATGGTCAGCCTCATAAGGTTTCTAAACACTGGCACCAGAATAATTTTTTCATTTTTGCACACAACTCTGCATTTTTGTCCAAAAAAAATACTTAAAACCCACACAAAAACCTAATATATATTTTGAAAGCGGAGGCCTTGTAGAATAAGATGATTAATGCAACTTCTCATGCTCCATATTTGCACAACTATTTTTCCCAAAAATTTGTGTGATTAACAAAAGATTATAGTGCACACAAATATAACAACCAGTATTTTGGTAAAATATAAAAGATTGGTACATATTTAATTGACACAGACCTAACATGCCAAGTTTTAAAAATTGTATGCTCCTGTGATATGAAACAGTGGTACCCAAAAACCTCCATAGGGAATTTAAATGCCTTTACAGCTCATCGGTTTAGAGCCAACTGAGCTCTGGCGCTAGAATTATTGCCCTCACTCCTGACGTTTGTTGCGATTGCACATGTGGTGCAATCACTGTTTACATACACATGCGTAGGTTTGCATTTGTGGGTGTACGCAGGACAGCAGGAGAAAAAATTGATTTTTTTTCTCATATTTAACTACTGCTATCATAAGGGGTTCACACGCAGGTGACACTGTTTATGGAGACATTGGGGGTTTTTGAGATCCAAATAGTTGAACTAGGTAATCAAATGGGAAACCAACTGTCTCTGAAAGACTAAAAAGGACAGAAAGCTGACCCTTGATAGTATTGAAAGCCAAACACTGGTCCAACCTCAACTGGAAGAAGCAGAGGATATGTCCCTTCGACAAACACCTGGAGTGGAAGTCTGGAGACTTACACCAAAAATGCCTTCCACGGTCGATGAAAACTAAAAAATTTTTTCTGGTCTTTCAGCATCAGACTCCAATGCCCCTGGGCTTTAACAGCCAGGGTGGGGAAACAAAAAAGGGACATTTAACATTATACTGACATTAAAGACTTTGCAGCAGAGGAAACAAGACTGTAAAGATTGGTGCTCCTACCCCAAGTAACATCCTTGATGAAGAGCTGATCCAAAGAGGTTGTCTTGAAGGCCATACTAATCAAATGCTGTTTATAGAAAGGTTCACCAGTCCAGTACTATTGCCAAACTAGTCTGGTTAGTGCAACTACATAAAGTGAGAAAAGGGAAGTTTCCAGTAAACAGTCACATCTAAAATGTAAATGCTACAGTCATCTACACCGTGCATTCTATAAGTGAGGTACCAACTACAGCAGAAGTTAGAGCTCCTTTAAGGGATTTTGACAAGACACGTTTGTGAGTTACAATCAGAATCAGATGAAGGGCAGGACCTATCAATGAGAAAAGCTCTAGAAAGGGCTTCCAACCATATATCTGTTGGGACTTATTATACAGAACTTATATAGCGCTAACAGTTTCCTCAGTGCTTTACAATATAACAGGAGACAATACACCAACAATACAGTTCAATACCAGAGGGATAGGAAGGCCCTGCTCCTTGGAGCATACAATCTAGGTACTTGAAGAATAGCTCTACTTGTGTTGAGAAAAATCCCCTGTGGGTGATGAATGTACATTTTAGTGATTTTAAAAATGGTAGCGGCTTCTTGCCCATTGATGCTCTGAAGAAATCGTTGTTTCATTATGTCCTTTGGATAGTGATTTAAATGGGAGGGTCTGGTTCACTATATATTCTGCTGGCGCTGTGTTTTAATAGCTGCAGGGTCTGCATGCCTTTCGAATTTAAACTGTACACAGAGAGTTCTGCACACAGTAGCAGCAGATTGAAAGGAAAGGGAAATTTAAAACAAGGCTTGGGTAACAATTGTATAAGCTTACTTTTATTGGCAATATTTTTCCCCACAACGTGCAGTTATTCAAGGTAGGCAGATTTTAACCGAGTAAGACACTGTTGGATCCAAAGCTGGATAAGACCACGTCTGTACAAAATCCTCACATAGGCCTGGCTCACACTTTTGCAGGTGGCTGCGGGAATCACAGTGATTCCCGCAACCACCTGCACTGTTGTAAAACGCACGGGGCTGCCACTCATTTTTAAAGTGGTCATAACCTCCCATTTTTACTTTGTACCTGCATGTAGGTACCATAAATATTTCCTAAGCGTGCACCATTTAAGAGCTAGTTACATGTGAAGCAGTAGCTGACACCACTGGCGCATGCACACTGTGCTGTTAATTGAGAGTCCATTGAGAGAGCTGTGTCCAGGACTCCCGTGCACTAGCGGCTGAAGTCAGTGAACCCAGAAGGAAAACTGAGTAAAGATTGATTCCCTGGAGGAACCGGTTTCACAGGTAGGTCTGTCATAATGTGCTACTATGTGGTGCATACTAACATGATATGACTTCACCCTGCAGGGGGACCACTTTTTTTTTTTTTTTTTCCAAAAGCAGTTTGCTACCACTATAATGAGCCCCCATGCATCTTAAACCGTAGCGCTTTGAGGGTGTGGGAACCACAAGGAAATCGCATGGTGATTGCATGTTTAGAGCAGTGCACACCGCATTAATAGCAGCCAACAAATGTAATTTTGTAACATGTAGAAATACGCTTTTGTTTGAAAAGTACTTAGAGCACCAAACAAGATATTTTCTGAGAGCAAAGATCCTTGAGAATAAAATGGTGGCTTTTGTAGGGGGGTCCAACTATCTTGGTAACATTTTACCACACACAAAATTTAGGATACACCATATTTTAATTTTAAAGCACAAAAAATACTTAATTTTTTTTGCAACATAGAAGATGCACACCTGTGCAATTTCGACAAACTACGGTGGATTAAATATTTCATAGGCGATGCCTTAAAACCTTTTACAGGTTACCAGTTTACAGTTACACAGGAGGTCTGGCGCTAGAATTATTGCTCACTGACATTTGCAGTAATACCTTAGTGATGCGATTACCATTTCCATATGAGTGCATTTGCACATGAGCACAGGGGGATGGGGCAAAAAAAAAAAAAAAAAAAAAAAAAAAAAAAAAAGGCTAATGACTGCAGCCATGATCCTGATATCACCGCTCCTACTCAAGGACAAATACATAGAATGGAGAGGAAGTATCTAAAAGCAGCATCACCACAGCTTAAAAACATTTGACCCCCCAAAGGACTAAGCATATGGTACACTTGGTAATGTGATCCATGTGGTTGACAGTTTGCCATTTGGCTTTGGGAGGATAACACTTGAGAGCACATAAGATTTTCAATGGCACAAGAGGCCCTCAGATCTCATAATCTTGCAATCACAGGGAAGGTTCAATATTCATAGACTGAGCAAAAATGTGCTGTCAGGGACCAGGAAAGATTAACATTCAGGTCTCTGAGAGCTGTAAAATTTTTAAAACTTAAAAAAAAGCATCTCGTGTATGAATATGAACCTTTCTTCCCTCCAGGCGCAAGTTTTCATCACTGGGCCACAAACGAAGTCCACCAGAGGACCAAAAATAGCAATGTAGTCAGCTTCAACAGAGCCATGTTTATATTAAGGTAAATGTACAACATATTTATATTGATCGCAGCTGCTTACCAGCGGTGTTTCAAAGTAAGGTGCTGGGCTTGGAGACCATGTTTGAGGCACAAGATTATAAAGTGAATACTGTTGAGGACTATATACAGGCTGCATAAATAGAGGCGAGGCAAACTGTGCTTGAGTCTGAACAGGTTGAGTGTACACACTGGAGTCCACTGCTCGATATCCATTCTTTGCAAAGAATGTGTTGATGGCTTTTATCCTAGCCTGTTGGGAAGCAAAAGAACAGTTAAAGTGCATAGATGCAAATAAGCTATGTTTCAACCCTTTGAGAACACCATTTCTATTTCTTTTAAAAAAACACCCAAAGACTGAATAAGTGTTAACACACATGAACACTTGCTGATGTATTAAATATATACATAAACAGAAAGCTTTAAGTGCCAGCATGTCTCTTATTTTACTTTGTTCCTTTGGCTAGAACCATTGAAAATCTTGTAACATATCCAGGCTTGTAAAATTCTTGCAAAGGCATCTGCTGGAAGCTTAGTCCCTATCCAAGTAGACATGCCCAAAGATCAACATTTACCAAGAATCCCCTTACCTACATACACTTTCTCCAAACTACAGTTATGATATCTTGTATTAAGCCACAATTCAGGGCTCTTACAAGCAAATAAAACCCAAACATTGCTCTGCTTAGCAAATCTGCATATAAGATATCAAAGCTGTATATAACATGATCGGGGAAGCTTGCTTACAAATACATGCAACATTTTTAATGTATGTATTTCCAATTCTGTAGTGGAATTTGAGAAAATCCTGCTGATATTTCTCTCTCATTTGTGAAAGAATGGGTCACTCTCAGCAGCTCAGTGAATTCAAGCGTGGTAATGTGATAGGTTACCACCTGTGCAATAAGTCCATACGTGAAACTTCCTTGCTACTAAATATTCCACGGTCAACAGTTAGTGGTAGTGTAACAAAGTGGAAGCAACAGCATTTCGGCCACAAAGTGGTAGGCCACATAAACTGACAAAGCGGGGTCAGCGCATGAAGCATACAGTGAGCAGAAGTCGCCAACTGCCTGCAGAGTCAATAGCTAAAGACATCCAAACTTCGGCGTGGCCTTCAGATTAGCACAACAGTGCGTAGAGAGCTTTATGGAATGGGTTTCCATGGCTGAGCAGCTGCATCCAAGCTTTACATCTCCAAGTGAAATGCAAAGCGTCGGATGCAGTGGTGTAAAGCGCACCAACAGACTAGAGCAGTGGAGACATATTCTCCTGACAACTATCAAACCTAGTCTGTCCATCGGATTGCCAGATAGAAGTGTGATTCGTCACTCCAGAGAATGGTACTTACCTGACTGCACTGTGCCAAGTGTAAAGTTTGGTGCAAGGGGGATTATAGTGTGGGGTTGTTTTTCAGGGGCTGGGCTTGGCCCCCTTAGTTCCAGTGATGGGAACTCTTAAGGCATCAGCATACCAATAAATTTAGGAAAAATTTCATGTGGGAACAGTTTGGGGATGGCCCCTTCCTGTTCCAACATGACTGCGCACAAGTGTTCAAAGCAAGGTCCATAAAGACATGGATGAGTGAGTTTGAAGTGGAACAACTTGTCTGGCCTGCACAGAGTCCTGACCTCAACCCAGAACACCTTTGGGATGAATTACAGAGAAGACTGCGAGCCAGGCCTTCTTGTCCAACATCAGTGCCTGACCTCACAAATGCACTTCTAGAAGAAGGGTCAAACATTCCCATAGACACACTCCTAAACCTTGTGGACAGCCTTCCCAGAAGACTTGAAGCTTTTATAGCAACAAAGGGTGGGTCAACTAATATTGAACCCCATGGACCAAGACTGGGGTGCCATTAAAGTTCATGTGTGTGTAAAGGCAGGTGTCCCAATAATAAATATATAGCTGGAGGGGGGTGTTGGAGGCTGGAAAGTTTCTAGGTGGCAGAAGGCGACCTTTAAACTGTACAGTGGGGTAGCAAAGGAAGAATGGGACTAAGCTAGGAGTAGGATAGATGTTAGTGATAGCTGATAGAGTGGGATAATGACAGGTTGGCCAGAATGTTTGACAGATTAGAGGTTGTAAAACCTGCAGGGGAAGTTGGAGCGGCATAAACCAAATGGGCAAGGAGTGATGACAGCAGGGCAGCCATCAGAAATTTTGAGGCCCCTTACAAAGCTTTAGGCTTGGGCACCAACAGTCACCATGGCCCACCCACTGGCCATTTCACGTCCTCCTGTCCCTCCTCCATCCCATGTTGTCATAGTCCTCCCTCTGCAGTCCCATCTCCTCCATCCAATCTTGTCCTCCTCTAGTCCCATCTCCTCCTCCAGTACCATCACCTTCATTCCCTGTTTGACATGGAGTTGGAGGTGGTACAGGCAGCACTGAAGCCACAAATTCTGTAGCTTTTCTGCCATGCATCCCTGTGTCATTTCTGATCTATTTCCACTAGTGGTGCACCGAAATGAAAATTCTGGTGACGAAAAATATACCGAAAATATAGAATGCATGTGGCCAAAAACCAAACCGTAAGCGAAATATCAACGCATGTGGGGAGGCTGGTTTTTTGTTCTTACCTCTTTCATGTATTTTTTTCTTATTAACTTATGATTTTATTGCCACATAGGGGACCAATAGTCCCCTATGTGATAGCATATGAGTGACAGGGCATCTTTGTAGGGGGGAGTGGGGGGCGGGGCAATGCGTACAAGGAGGGGAGCAGGAGAGGAGCAGTGTATAGAGAGGCCCCCCCTCGCTGGCTGTCACTATGTGTCAGTGCCAGTTTTTAAATGCAATTGCCGGCTTTTTTTCTTCACCATAGCTCAGATGAGCTGTCACTTTACCCAGAGCTAAAGGGACACTGTTTTTAGCTCGGCAAAGAAACTAAAAAGAAATGGTTTCTTTAAGCTCGGGGAAAGTGACAGCAGACTGAGCCATAGTGAAGAAAAAAAAACCAAAAAAAAAAAAACCTGGCAATAGTATTTAAAAACTGGCACTGACAGCCAGTCACTGTATAACTGCTCCTCTCCTGCCTTTATCCACCCCCTCCCTACATCTGCAGTACACAGTCCCCTGTATCAACTAAATTAGAGCTATTTTCGGCCGATGTTTCGGTGGCCAAAATTTCAGTGCATCCCTAATTTCCACAAAGAGGCGGAGCCCCCTTCCTCCCCCAGCTCACTCTGCATTTTGCAGTCATACCTCCTTTGCTACTGTTAACAGGCAGAGCCTGCAATCTCCAGCAGCCACCAGCTAGTTCAGTGGAGTCTAGTTCTACCCCAGATGAATGTAGTAGCAGCTGTTGTGTGCCATTGTCAGCTTGTGTTTTTGTGCAGGCTCAGTCTTAACAGAAGAGGAGGAATGACTGCAGAATGCAGATATGGGTGTGGGAGATTGTGGGCTTGTGGTACAAACAGAGCAGAGGAGCCACAGGGATGCATGGCAAGAAGAGCTGTGAATGTTCTGTCTGCAGCATTCAGAGCAAGCAGGGGTTATGTAGGCTCTGTCTGCACTGCCTTTAGCCTTTCTCCAACTTCTCTTCAGTGTTGTCAATCAGAAGCTTTTTTCACTTTTGTCCAGAATTGTCAGATAGCGGTAAGAGGCTAGTTATCCAACATACATGTTCTCATTTCCAAAGGTGAGAAAATGAATAACCCAGATCGGAGCTCACTGTGGAGAAGGGGTTCTATATAAGAAGTTCATGATACTCCTGCATGCTTACACCACAGTGCTGCATCACCAAGATTTCATTGCAATGATCCTTAGGGGGCAGGAAATTTAAAATGCAGTTCAGGCATAAACCATGCCTGGCCGCCAGACTCAAACACACAGCTCAAGATAAAAAGAGGGCCCATGTGGCCAGCCTGCAAGTTACCTTTGCACAAGAATAATTTTAAAGACTTTGTTCACTTTTTTCCTAAATTCCATTTCTCCTACGGACTAATATACCATTAATGTACTTCTGTTGCAAAACTGATATCGTTTTATAAGTATTTTAGGACAACCTCCAGATTTCTCCATAGAAGAGTTCATGACTTCCTGGTATGTAGATTTAGGATATGAAAACTGTTACGACACAGGAAGTAATTCACCAGCTGGCCTCAGCACACACCCTGCACATGCCCTCCCTCCACCTCTGTACTCACATACAGGCATTATTGAAAAGAGGAGATGTCTGCAAAAGCTCACCCATACACTACATAATCTGATTGTACAATCTCCTTAAGAGCTACCAACTATGTAGTGCAAGGTCCTGCCTGACTGGGATAGATAGCGGTGTCCCCTGTTGTATAGTGTTAGTAAATCTAAAGGTGATTTGCTGCACAGATTGTATATTATGTGGCGACCTTTATACACCTAAAATGAACTATTTGTGCTTTCAGTGTCATTAACTGCACCCCAAACACAGAAGCAAACACATTTTGGTGTTTCTCTCCCCCACAACCGACAATGGTCTTGTGTCATGCCTCCTAGCTCATTCATCCAGTGTTCTCTCACTAATACTGGTGGTGTTACTGGACAGATCAACAGGGGACAAAAGAAAGCCAAACAAAACGGATGCAGCCACCACATGAGATTGGTAATCGGCAATATTATTACGTCTGGTTTTTGGGTTTAATACCAATGTCAGTTTGCTATGTGTCTAGTGTCCATTTCTCTTAAAGGTGGCAGTATAACCCTAGACTTTTCACCATCAAGCTCCAGCATGTTCCTCAATAGACAACAGAGAAATACAACGTACGCCCATCAATTGCAAATATTTCATAGCATGTCAGAGAGCTTAAGGGCATCTGCATAATCTGAATTTTAGTACCTATAGAATACACGTCTGCATACCAACTTCCCAAACTAATGTATGCCTACTGCAATACAATAGCTGATTAGACCCAACTAGGTGAAAAATGTTATTTGCGTGGCGGGGGGGGAGGGGGGGGGTGTTGAAATGCACAAAAGCTCTGACAATGACTGGGTCAGCCAGTGTAAAATGTTCATGTTCTGACCAAATGCACAGTTGGACACCCACTGCTCTAGGATTTTAACTGAACACGTTCAAAGGCATTGCATGACCAGCATTGATGGTAGAACGAAGCCGTGTTTGCAGCAACTTACCATTATTGGCTTGTCCTGAAATGTTTTAACTTCTTCCCTTAGATATTTAAATGCCTGGATAAAGAAATAAGATTATAAAGATGAAAAAAAAAAAAAAAAAAAACTAAAAAAAGGCAACAAGTTAAATTTTGCAATATTGCAGGACTTTGCGTATACTTCATCTATGGCCAAATGTAATCCAGCACAATCAGCATACATAACTCCCTCTACCCGCCCACCCCCCCAAAACAGCTCTACATTGCCCCTTCACTTCTGCCCTCTCCCCACTACGGCACTCACCACCTCCTCCTGGTACTCCACTCCCCGGTCGACCCACGTGCCACCACTACCAGACCCACACGCTCCTACACCTCCCATTCCCATGCCACCCTCCTCACCCTTCTCCTATCCGCTGGGGACATCTCCCCGAACCCTGGCCCCTCACCACCTCTCCCCCCCTCCAGGGACCCCCCTGCCCCCGCCAGCCGCCGCAACCCCCTCAACCTCATACCTGTGCACCTCCTCCCCGCATCCATCCATCCCCCCTCTCTCGGTTGCACTTCTGAACGCCCGTTCGGTTTGCAACAAACTAACTGCCATCCATGACCTCTTTATCTCCCGCTCCCTCAACCTCCTAGCCATCACCGAAACCTGGGTAAGGCCACTGACACTACCTCCCCTGCGGCACTCTCCCATGGAGGTCTCGCCTGGTCCCATTCACCAAGACTGAGCGGTCACAAAGGTGGTGGTGTCGGCCTGCTCCTGTCACCGCTGAGCACCTTCCAGGTCCTCCCTAACCCCCCCTTCCTAACCTTCTCCTCCTTCGAGGCTCACTGCATCCGGCTCTTCTCACCCACCCCCCTAAGGATCGCAGTGATCTACAGGCCCCCCGGATCCATAGCCCGCTTCCTGGATGACTTCGCCGCCTGGCTTCCCTTCTTCCTCTCCTCTGAGCTACCGACCATCATCCTCGGGGACTTCAACATCCCCATCAACGACAACAGCCCGGCTACTTCCCAACTCCTCCACCTAACCTCCTCCTTCGCGCTCACACAATACACTCAATCCTCCACCCACATCAATGGGAACACCCTGGACCTAATCTTCTCCCACCTCTGTACCCTTAACCACTTCACTAAACACCCCCTTCCCTCTCTCCGACCACCACCTCCTCATGTTCTCCATCTCCCCTTCCCCTAACTCCCCCCCCCAGTGCGCCAAACCATCACCAGCCGCAACCTCCGCAACCTGCACCCGGCCCCCCTCCACTCGGCTGCCGACCGCTTACACGACAGCATCCTTCCACTGTCATGTCCTGACCTAGCCACCACCGCGTACAACGACTCATTATCAGCTACCCTAGACTCTCTGGCACCCCTAACCACACGCAACATCAAACCCAGACCGCTTCAACCATGGCAGAACGACCATACTAAATGCCTCAAACATCGCAGTCGTGCGCTGGAGAGACTATGGACTCATGCATTCTCCCTCTACAAATCTGCCTTCCTCACCTACACCCCCTCCCTCCACGCCGCCAAGCAGGCCTACTTCGTTAACCTGATCAACACCCTCTCCACCTGCCCTCGCCGACTCTTCTCCACCTTCAACTCCCTGCTCTCTCCCCCCCCCTCCTCCACTCAGTACCTCACTTACCGCCCACGAGATTGCCACTCATCTCCACAACAAGATTGACGCAATCCGCAAGGACATAGTCAACTTGCAATCTACCTCCCCCCTTCCACTCTCCCCTCCTCTGACCTCGCAACGGCACTGCCCCCCACCACACCCAAGGCCCTGCCTACCGTAACCCCCCCCATCGCTGCACTCCTTCAGCCCTACTACCACTGAGGAAGTCACCAGAGTCTTCTCAGAAGCCCGCCTCACTACCTGCCCTCTGGACCCTATCCCCTTCTCAACTCCTCGGGTCACCCCCCTCTTCCCTCATCCGCTCCCTTACCCACATCTTCAATCTCTCCCTCTCTACTGGCGTCTTCCCCTCCCCCCTAAAACATGCGCACATCACCCCCATACTCAAAAAGCCCTCCCTGGACCCCAATGACCTCAACAACCTCAGACCAATTTCCCTGCTGCCACTCACTTCCAAGCTCCTTGAGCGCTTGGTCTTCGATCGCCTAAGCGCCCACCTGACAGCAACCTCCTTGACCCACTACAGTCCGGCTTCCGTCCCCTACACTCCACCGAAACTGCCCTCCTCAAAATCACCAACGATCTACTAACCGCCAAAGCCAAAGGCGACTACTCTGTCCTCCTCCTCCTAGACCTCTCCGCGGCCTCTGACACAGTCGACCACCCCCTCCTCCTTAATAAACTACTCTCCCTTGGCATCAGAGACACCGCTCTCTCTTGGTTCTCGTCCTATCCCAACGCTCCTTCAGCGTTTCCTACAACGATGCCACCTCCTCTTCCCTCCCCCTCTCTGTTTGGGTCCCCCAGGGCTCTGTCCTTGGACCCCTTCTTTTCTCCATCTACACCTCCTCCCTTGGCAAATTCATACACTCCCACGGCTTCAACTACCACCTCTACGCTGATGACACTCAAATTTACCTCTCCACCCCTCACCTCACCCCCACATTCTCCGCCCGCATCACTCACCTCCTAAACGACATCTCTGACTGGATGTCGCTCCATTTCCTCAACCTCAACCGCTCCAAAACCGAGCTTCTCGTCTTCCCCCCAGCCCACGGGCCTCCCCCCCCCCCCGCCCCCCCCCCCCCCCCCCATCCTTTCCATCACTACCAACACCACCATCAATCCCGCCCAGCAAGCCAAGGTCCTTGGCGTCATTCTGGACTCAAACCTTTCCTTTCAACCTCATATCAAATCACTTACAAACACATTCAGGCTCCACCCCCGGAACATCGCCAAGATACGCTCCTTCCTTACCCCAGACACCACTAAACTACTCGTACACTCCCTGATTATCTCACGCCTTGACTACTGCAACTCCCTCCTCACCGGCCTACCCCAGTGCAAAACTCTCCCCGCTTCAGACCATCCTGAACTCAGCTGCCAGACTCATCCACCTCACCAGCCGCTCCACCTCTGCCACCCCCCTCTGCCTCTCCCTCCACTGGCTCCCCATTGCCCAACACATTAAATTCAAATTGCTCACCCTGACCTATAAAGCCATTCACAACACTGCCCCTAACTACCTCACCGACCTGATTCCCAGGTACCACCCTACCCGTACCCTTCGCTCTTCACAGGACCTCCTATCTTGCTCCCTGGTCTCCTCCTCCCACGCACGACTGCAAGACTTCTCCAGGTCCTCCCCCATCCTCTGGAACTCACTACCCCAATCCATCAGACTGTCACCTTCCCTCACCTTCAGGTGCTCCCTGAAAACCCACCTCTTCAGGGAAGCCTACCCCACCCTCACCTAACAGCCTCTGCCCTTCCCTCCTCCTACCACTCCATCCCCCACAGCCGTTTCCTCCTGTGCCTCTACCCCCTCCCTCCTAGATTGTAAGCTCAAAAGAGTAGGGCCCTCTTACCCCTTGTGTGCTGTTTGAGGTTACGGTTTCATGTATTGTCCCCCCCCCTCTATTGTACAGCGCTGAGCAAACCCTTTGGCGCTATCGAAAACTCGATAAATAAATAAATAAACAGATGCAAATCCAGCAGCCTTTCAGGCACCAATGTCTATGCAACAGTGTTTAACTGGTATTTGCGACTCCAGTTCCTATAGTTTTGTAAACAGGCAGATTTGCACAGGACTAACAGATTTAACTCCGACAAATGCACAGTTAAGCTCAAAGCTCTTTTGGCTGTACTTCTGTGAATCAGTTCATTCTGCACTACTGCAACCAGTTTTCAGCGGGCAGAAGCCCACTGTCAGCTGACGTCACTCAGCTGGTCCAGACCGGGGAAAGATCCCAACTTTAAAGTCGAGATCTACCCTAGAGTCTGGAGTAGCACCTGGCTCAGCCACTCACCGAGCCGCTGCGAGCCGAGCGAGCCACTTCCTTCTCCACCATTGCCCAGCGCTCCAGTGAGAAGGGGGGTTGGGTAGAGCAGACAGCGGTGACAGACAGTCACCGTTCTCTGCTCAGAGTGGCTGTGAGAACTCAGCAATCACATGATAAAAGTTGCTTAGTTCTCACACTTAGAGTCGACGAGGGACAAAGTGATTTTTTTTTTTTTTTTTTAAAAACCCATCCCATACTTCCCATTTAAGTGTTAAGGGTCAGAATTCTGCTGCAATGATAAAAAGCTAAGGCAGGAATTCATCACCACTCCTGTTTAGTACTGCATGGCTATGCGGCAAATGATAAAATGTCCTGCCATGCATTTTCAGCGTCAATATGGCTGCTATCAATCGGTTTCTAATTAGTTTTATTAATGATCAAGTTTATTACCACTTTATACAGTCAGTAACACAAAGCACCACTGCATTCTGGATTTTAAATTTTGATCTATTCTATCCCATACAGAGCACACCATCAGCACTAAAAACCTACAGTATTTACAGTTAAGACGCAGCTGCACATTAATCTCTTGCCTCAAAACCAGCACTCACATCCATTTAAGATAACTTTCCCTAATTCACAAAGCTAAACACATCACATTAAATAATAAAAAAAAAAAAATTTAAAATGTCATACTTAACTGCTCTGCGGTTTTGCACAGAGCAGTCCTGATCTTCCTCTTTTTGGGTTCTCTGCCAGCACTCCTGGCTCATCCTCCTCGATCAGTGACCCCAATAGCAAGCCGCTGGCTATGGGGGCACTGGTGCGTGTTTGCTCCTGAGCCACACTGTGCCCAAAAGATACAGCTGTGGCTTTGCTGCACTCCCTGCTCTCTCCTCCTTGACTCACTGGCTGAGAATGACCACAGAGGGAGCCAATGGCTCCAATTGCTGCATCCAGCAAAGGAGAGAGAGACCCAGGACAGCAGGGCTCTAGTGGACAGTGATGGATTGAGAGGAGGCTCAGGTAAGCATTGGGGGGGGTGGGTGCAAGCACACAAGTTTTTTATCTTCATGCAAAGAATGCATGATGCTATAAAAATCTTCAGCCTTTACAACCTTAGAGCTATCACAAAGGGGCCCAACAGGCCCTTATGTGATTTCTCATCAAGGGTCAATAAGACTAATGGCTCTGCTGCCCTCTGTTCAAGCACAGACTATGCTGGATCTGCTGGGTACCCAGCTTTTCAGATGTGTTTTTGACAGCTGTGAATGCAAAAATGCTCAGAGCCGAGTACTTTTGGGTTCACAGTAAGCAGAATAGATCAGGTAACCGCACATAACGAGTCCCATAAAAGTGGCTGGGTGGCTCTACATTTGCCCAGACCACTTACAGTAAAGCCAGGAGGCAGCCATGAGCTTATTGTAACCTTTTCACAATTTGGACAAACTAGACATGTCCAAAGAGCTGAAAAAAGTTACATCTATACACTCTAAAATGCCAAGGTGATATTACCCTTAATGCAAACCAGTATTGAGAAAAACACAGTGATTGCGGTTCCATCCTCCTGAAAATACATTTTGACCAGCTATGCTCATTTAATGGTTTTAATACTCTGGAGGCACTGGACAGAAATTGATTGGGCGCTCAGACTTCCCTGATTTTAAACAGTTTGCTTGTTCCAGTGAGTCAAATACAGAGCCAAAGATATTCAAACAAAGCAGCTTTGGAAAAAAAAAATTTTAAATTGCCAGTCCCCATGTTCCTCTCACAGAGTCCGACACGGTTAGAGGACAATAATGACTATCCAGATGGTAAAATCGCTTATAAAACAAAAGGAATAAAATGCAAACCGTATATTCCCTAGAGGCCAAACACATGCTGAAATACACAATGGGAAAAAAAAAACAATTTTTTAGCACTGTCTTGACCTCTTAAACGTTAACTGCAAAAAAGACTTACCTGCTGTGCATCAGTATCAGACTGGAATGTAACATACCAGTTGTTATTGTGAGCAAACTCACAGCTTATTACTTTGGGGCAATTTTCATTATCAAATAATGCTTTCACCTCCTGTAAACAAGATAAGAGAAGACATTTTTGAAAAGATCAAATCTGTCAGACAGACAAGCAGAAACTACTACACTACAATCCCGAAAATGACAGTCAGTTAAGTTTTTTATTTAATTTCAGGTACTTATATAGCGCCGTCAATTTACGCAGCTCTTTACATATATATTGTACATTCACGTCAGTCCCTAACCTTCAAGAGGTGTACAATCAAAAGGTCCCTAACTCACATTCATACATACACATACTAGGGACAATTTAAAGAGGCTCCAATTCACCTACCATCATGTCTTTGGAGCATGGAGTACCCGGAGGAAACCCACGCAGGCACAGGGAGAACATGCCAACTCCAGGCAGGTGGTGCCGTGGTTGGGATTCAAACCAAGGACTCTAGCACTGTCAGGCAGAAGTGCTAACCATTTAGTCACTGTGCTGCCCTGTTTTAAACCACTTATTTTATAGAGCTACTGTATAAACATTCCAGACTTCCCCATATGGACTAATTCCCTGATCATTCAAAGACCAAGAAGTCTGTAGCAATCAAGAGATTCAACTGTTCAAATGGTAGAATAGAAAAATGACTGGTGCTTACAAGGTTTAGGTCTTATAAATATTAGGCACGTATTAAGAGGTGCCAGCCATCATACCTCTACAGGAGTGGTTTCTGGGATTTCACGTAGAATGATAATACATCGCTTGTGATTTGGTCTCACTTTTTCGCCTCTCTCATCAACTTGCACCACAGGAGTAGCTGAAAGCAGAAGATTTAGGAGAACCTATTACAGTATAGATCATCAATCTGTTCTATACATAGACAAAGTACAAAATGTTAAAAACCAGACGCTGCATTTTTGAAGCAAGGTCCACTATAAGCCTAACAAAAAAACAAGACACGAAAAAAAAACAAAACAAAAAACACGTTCACATACTATTTGATGCAACAAATCCCCATTTTGGGACATGTGGCATAGACCTGTCTTGTACACAATTAGTAACCATTTAATCCATGGCTTGGGAACATCATGCACTTTTAGTAATTACAAATGTTTTACTTACAGCGAAGAACGTCAACAATGAGGTCCATATCAGTGGTCAACTTCTTAATTCCTTCCATGTTTGCAATAGTCCATATTGGTACAAACTGGTCACTATCCATTTGTGACATTAGATATAAATCTTTTGATAGGTTCTCTCTGCATCCACCCCAAAAAAAAAAAAAAAAACAACATTTTTTTTTACCACCACCACAAATATTTTTCAAGAGACAATTAAAAGGCACTGTATAATTAAAGAAATTTGGTATCCAGCATTGCCAACAACTCATTGTCAAATGCTAGCTGCCTGGCTGTTTTACAAGGGCATTTTGGCTTAAATTTGATGTTTGTTCCAGGTTTGTGATTCCAGGCTTTACAACAGAAACTAGCAGAGCTTGCTAAGGATTGGTTCACACTGCTGCCACCACAAAGTGGTGGAACTTGCTTGCAATTTCCTTGTGTACTTGCTTACCACTTTTGTGATTAACATTACCGTCTACAGCGCTCAAGTCAGAGAAGTAGTGCAGAAACTTTTTTGGTCACTGACTTGAATCGCATTAAGACATTCACCCATTAAAATGAATGTGTTCTGACTTGTCATGCGACTGTCGCAAGTCATATGATAAGTTGCAGCAATGTGAACCAGAGCTAAAACTTGCAGAAAAAAAAACATCAACCACATCTCCATACAGGTGTACTTCAAACCTGAATGCATATTAGCAGGGGCTGACTACTTGCTGTATGTTATTATTCTGGATCAGTGACCTAGGCTTCATGCACATAGGGCATTTTTGCAGCCACTTTTAGGGAAGCCAGGTTTTTTTTTTCCCCCTACTTCCAAACAGCCCTCCATGATATCCTATCTGTCCATGCACACACAAGCTTTTAGTAGCAGCAGCGTTTACCAAAAGAGAAAAACACAGGGCCAGTGCGTCCAGGAGCACCAGAGCACCATTTTGGAAGAAAAAGCACTTGATGCACGCAAGTGCCTGTTAACCTGTAGCGCGTGAGCGTTAATTCATTTCAATAGCAAGAATAACCTGTAAATGCTTGTAAAAGCACGAGACACTGACAAGCATCAGGCATCAAGAAGAGCGTTTTTAAAAGGACATGTGTGCATGAAGCGTTAGAAGTACAGAAGTCATAACAAGGAAATTAGCATTTCAAACAAGCAATAGCCACAATTGTGGCTATTGCTGAAAGTGTAATTGTAAACAGGCAGCGATATACACATAAGTTAAAACATCATTAAAGCTTAATTCAAAATCAGATTTTAAAAACGCATCCAGGATCTGGTTTCAGACTAGCTTCATGCAATTCCCTGCACAGCAGAACTCAGCAGTATGAAAGATACAGGGCCAAAATTACAAGTCATTCAGGCTCTGCTGCACTGTACAATTCAGTCAAGTTTATTGCTGGAAATCCAATGAGAGCAGAGCAATACACCTTTACTGCTCATGTTGGTCAATAACCAAGCTGACCGCTTAACTGCAGTGGTGAAAAGTCAAGGTCAATGACCTGGCTAGGCTGTCTGCCAGGAATATTCGATTACGGAGTCAGCTAAAATACAGTTCACATGTAAGGTAGTCAAGTATATATTAAAGTGACACTAAACCTAAAAAGTTTACATTAATGCGTTGCTTGCATTGAGGTAAAAAATGTTCTTTTTGTGCTCCCCCTTCACTGTGTGAAGGGGAGAAAAGGGAGAGAGAGATCAGAGCTGTGCACAGCTGCATCTCTTCTCCCCTCTCTTCCTCTTCACACAGGGACTCAAACAGCAGCAGAAGCCATTGGCTATTGCTGCTTTCAAATGTAGTCAAGAGGAAGTGGGAGGATCGCCAAGTCCAGCTATGTATTTCTACAGAGCACAGCTCCATAGACACAGGTCAAGAGTGTACACGCAGAATGTGTAACCATAGCAGACAACTTTCTATGGGGAGGTTTGACACAGGAGGAGCTGAGATCGCCAGCAGGGGACCTGGGAAATGAGGAGGATTGGAGGCCGGTCTGTGCAATACCACTGAACAGAGCAGGTGAGTATAACATGATATAGAGAGAGAGAGAGAGATATGACTTTAGCAACACTTTAAATGGGTTGAGCAGTTTTACAGCAGTTTTTCAATTTTAACTGATCTGTAAGCAGAAAGCTAAAACCTGACAATCTGCACCACACAGACATTTTTATATTAGTAAAAATTAATATACCAGTTAATATATTGAACAGATTCTACTTCATATTCGTGAAAGAGCTCCATATACTAATATAACCATATAGAGGTTGTAATTTGATAAAAATTTAGAGTGGTACAGAATACGGAACAATTTCGGCAGCCTGTTAAAATGCAATTACAAGCTTTTTAACAATTATAATTGCAATTTAATTTGCACCCCACACAAAAAAAACCCCAAACACTTAAGCCTACCTTGAAAAGCAAAATTCAAGTTGTTTTTTTAAACACTCTTTAAGGTCCTCAGCAGAAACAGCTTGTGGAACTGTTGAAGTGCCATCACCTTTTTATAAGAAAAAAAAAAAAAATTAGGAAAATGAATGTTAGAATTGATATTTGCACATATGTCATTAACTCTTAACAGGCCCCTGCCTGTGACTTCTCCTGTATCTTTTTTGCAGCCACAGGTTTACCTTTTACAGCAGGGCAGAAAAGAGTCAAAGTCTACATCTTAAATGTACCAGCAGATTTAAATACACTACCAAATTGAAGCTGGCCTCCAGCTAATACTTTAGAGCCAGTTGCAGCAACTTGTTTTAACCTTTTGGGACAAAAGGTTTTACACAAACGTGATCATTGTTTGCACTGCTACGAGTGTTAATGGTTTTTCTCACCCGTGTAATACTACATCTGCAACAGAACTTGTGCTTTTGAAAAAACAGCTTTACTGGATCACCAGATAAAAATATAAGAAAGCCTAAAAAAAAAAAATGCACCCATTATATCTAAGAACTGGTAAGCTGCAATATAATTAGTGGTGCACAGAAATGAAAAGTCTGGTGCCGAAACCGAAAATTCTAAATGCACCTGGCCAAAAAGTGCAGTTTTAAAAATCACACTTTGATTTAAAAAAACAACAAAAAAAACATCTACATACCCCAATTTTTTGTTAAATATGTAAAGGATGTTATGGAGCATAAATAGATACCCAACCTGTCACACTTTAACATTGCGCACACTCGTGCAATAGAGTGAAACTGCGGTACTTAAAAATCTCCATGGCTGATGCTTTAAAAATTTCTACAGGTTAACAGTATCAAGTTACAGAGGAGGTCTAGTATGAGAATTATTGCGCTTGCTCTGACGTTTGTGGCAATACCCCACATGTGTGGTTTGAACACCATTTACAACTGTGGGCATGGCCTATGTATGCGTTCACCACTACGTGCGAGCACGGCGGATGGGAGCACTTTAAACTTTTTAAAATTTCATTTTTTTTTGCATGGTCCCTTTAAAAAAATGTTTAATCACTTTTATTCTTAAAAGAAATGCATGCATCCCTTGTGATAAAAATTAGTGTCCTCTTAATGGAGCGATATGGGGTCAGTGAGACCCCACATCTCTCCTCTGCAATATAAAGCATTGAAAAACAAAACAAAAAACACACCATTGATCTAGTGCTGAAAAAAAAAAAAAATAATAAAATAATATGGTCGGAATCAGAAGTGACATCGTTCCGGTCCTTGAAGGGCATAGAGATGCGTGGAAGCCATCTATGCTTCACTAATCTCTACGCCCAGCACCAGGATCATTCGATGGTTTCTCAGGTAACGCTGAGAGCTACCGTGCGGCAGCAAGCAACCGGGGTTTTTCGGCACCTGTATCTGATTTTTTTTTTTTCATATCGGCCGAAAAGTTTCAGCCACCGAAATTTTGGTGTATCCCTAAATATGTTTGTTTTTGGGTTCAATAGCGCTTCAAGGGCTATTTGACAGTGAATGAGGGATGACAATGCTAGTGGGACTAGTGATGACGTGGAGTCTTTTGGGGCAGGAGTCTGTGCCTAGAACTTCAAAATTGAAAAAACAAAAATGTAAACCAATTGTGGATGTATGCAATAGGCCTCCTAATGTTAAGGATGAGGAGCAGACCCATCTCAATTCACAGTTCGAGATGGCGCAGAGGCAGGGCAATGTTACAGTCCTGGGGGACTTCAACTAGGCTAACACAGACTGGGCAGACAACTCAAATAAGTCTTCATTTCCATGTAATGTAGGACAATTTAATGAGTCAAACGGTGGAAGCTCTAACGCTCTGCTGGACCTACTAACTACACAGAGCTGACTGCACTATTCAGAGTAATTACAGTCAAGAACAGAAGTATTTGAACACCCTGTGATTTTGCAAGTTCCCCCACTTAGAAATCATGGAGGGGTCTGAAATTCACATTGTAGGTGCATTCCCACTCAGACAGAATTTAAAAAAAATTCAGGAAATCACATTGTATGATTTTTAAAGAATGTATTTGTCTTGCACTGCTGAACATAAGTATTTGAACACCTAAAAAACAGCAAGAATTCTGGCTCTCAAAGACCTGTTACTGTGCCTTTAAAAAGTCCACCTCTACTCCACTCATTAATCTACCTTAGTAGCACCTGTATGAGCTCTTTAAAGACACCTGTCCACCCCACAGTCAGTCAGACGCCAACTACTACCATGGGCAAGACCAAAGAGCTGTCAAAAGACACCAGAGACAAAATTGTGGACCTCCACAAGGCTGGAAAGGGCTACGGGGCAATTGCCAAGCAGCTTGATGAAAATAGATCAACTGTTGGAGCAATTGTTAGAAAATGGAAGAGGCTAAAGACGACTGTCAGTCTCCCTCGGACTGGGGCTCCATGCAAGATCTCACCTCGTGGGGTATCACTGATAAGAAAGGTGAGGAATTAGCCCAGAACTACAAGGGAGGAGCTGGTCAACGACATAAAGAGAGCTGGGACCACAGTTTCAAATGTCTGTCGGTAGAACACTACGCCGTCATGGTTTCAAATCATGCATTGCACGGAAGGTTCCCCTGTTCAAGTCATCACATGTCCAGGCCCATCTGAAGTTTGCCAATGACCATCTGGATGATCCAGAGGAGGCATGGGAGAAAATCATGTGGTCAGATGAGACCAAAGTAGAACGTTTTGGTCTAAACTTCACTTGTCGTGTTTGGAGGAAAAAGAAGGATGAGTTGCATCCCAAGAACACCATCCCTACTGTGAAGCATGGGGATGGTAACATCATGCTTTGGGGATGCTTTTCTGCAAAGGGGACAGGACGACTGCACTGTATTGAGAGGATGAATGGGGCCGTTTATTGTGAGATTTTGAACAACCTCCTTCCCTCAGTCAGAGCATTGAAGTTGGGTCGTGGTTGGGTCTTCAACATGACAACAACCCGAAGCACACAGCCAGGATAACCAAGGAGTGGCTCCGTAAGAAGCATATCAAGGTTCTGGAGTGGCCTAGCCAGTCTCCAGACCTAAATCCAATAGAACATCTTAGGAGGGAGCTGAAACTCTGTGTTGCTCAGTGACAGCCCTGAAACCTGACAGATCTAGAGGAGATCTGTGTGGAGGAGTGGGCCAAAATCCCTGTTGCAGTGTGTGCAAACCTGGTCAAGAACTACAGGAAATGTTTGACCTCTAATTGCAAACAAAGGCTTCTGTACCAAATATTAACACTGATTTTCTCAGGTGTTCAAATACTTATGTTCAGCAGTGCAAGACAAATACATTCTTTAAAAATCCTACAATGTGATTTCCTGAATTTTTTTTTTTTTTTTAATTCTGTCTGAGTGGGAATGCACCTACAATGTGAATTTCAGACCCCTCCATGATTTCTAAGTGGGAGAACTTGCAAAATTGCAGGGTGTTCAAATACTTCTGTTCCTCATTGTATGTTTGCCAGAAAATTACAAAAAAAGAACACTTGAATATAGGACAAGAATAAAACTTCAAAAGAACCAACTTTACTAAACTTGCTCCATACTACAAGCTACTAAAATGGGATCAAATTCTTGCTGCAATAAAAAAAATGTAATGCTTTAAGGACGTATGAGTCAATTCACCAAGGTAAATATTGCATAAATTTTAAATATTTATGTTTTGCAATATTTAGATCTTAAAATTGCACCAGCGGAGGGGTTGGGGCAGAAACTGGCTCAGGCTCTCAGCAGCTTTATGAGAAATTGTGCCAGGTGGATCCCCACCATATGGCTGCAATCTTCCCCCAGCTTGGACTGAGATTCTCTGATGTGTTGAAACCTAGTCAGAGGAGTGCAGACTGAACTGTGATCCATAGAAGTACAGCCAAATGAGGTTAGGCTGCTCTTTAATGTGGGTAAATCACCAGGAATAGGTCTCAAGGAACTTAGCCATGTAACAGACAAGTTCCTAATTTGTAAAGGACATGACTGGAATGGTACCCAGCAGATGAAACTACAACCAACCAGTAATGCCTAGGCAATCTGAGTGAAATGCTCAAACCCAACACTCTCCTCCCCCCCCACAGCATTCTGGGACACTTCACAAGTCCCAGTACGTCGTTGGACCACTCAAAGGGCGCAACATACATACACACCATAGATTGTAGACGCTATAACTTTCACACAAATTGATACACATGTATTGGGACTATTTATTTTCAACCAAAGCCATGTAGCAGAATACATTTTCGGCCTAAATTTATGACAAACTGAGTTTACAATACATTTTTAAGAAGTAAAAAAAAAATTGTTTCTCAAAATGTTTGGTCATTTATATCACCAAAAAAAACCCCATTGGTGATCAAATACCACCAAAAGAAAGCTCTATTTGTGTGGGGAAAACGGACAAAGTTCGGTTGGGTACAGCACTGCATGACCACGCAATTACCAACTGAAATAACGCAGTGTCGAATAGCAAAAAGTGGCCTGGCATGGGGGGGGGGGGGGGCCTTCCAGAGGGAAAGTGGTTAATCTAAGGTCTCTAAAGACACACGGCCAAGCAATGAGGTTAAAAGGGAGGTGACTCAATTAAACTACATAAGAGTTTCTTCACTGTTTGAGCAGTAAGGATGTGGAACGCCACGGTGGTGTTAGCGGGTGAATGTAGATAAATTCAAAAAACTTCTAGATGCGTTTTAGAGAAGGCTATCTACAGGGACATGGAAAATGGTAGTGAAAAACAGGCTGAACTGATGTCTACTCAACCTTACCAACTATGCAACTATATTGTATGGGCTGAAAAAAAAAAATTCCCAAAAAGGAAAAGAAATACTAACAGGACATTGTCTGTGGTCCCCAAACCAACACCATAGAAGCCATGGCTTCAGCACTGCACTGTTGTTGCCCGAAACAGGCACACCTAGATTTAAGTGGCTGTACTCACTGAGATGTAAAGGAGAGTTCTAAGACGGCATTAGCAAAGGAAAAAAAAATGCTCTTTTCGTGTTATGCATTAGCAAACAAAAATGATCAATCTCAACACATTCTTAAATGTGGTCATCAGTTGAGAATGTTCCTATGGGGGGGGGGGGGGATATAAATATTATGAGATGTCCTGTGTGTCAAAGGTTTCATAATCATTTTGAGAAATGGAAATAGCTTTCATACTAAGGGCTAATTTCTCTAAAAACTGAAGTTATGATTTTTAAAATAAAGGACTAGTGAGCAGCATTGCCCACCTATTTCATGTGTTTCTTGAAGATAGTAATAGCAAGATTTCATATAGTGATTTCGGACTGTGCCTCTAGTACAAAGAATGTGTTCCCTAGTCTGTTCCATCTACAGAACAGAAAATCCACATGGGCTGCAGGATATTATTTGACTGACTAATGTTGGGTGAACTGCCCATTCTGGTGGCGATACTTTTCCAGTGAAATCACTATGGATATAACAAGCCAGTGATTGATTCAAATCACTGGTGCCTCAAAAATGGAAATACCAGTTTTGGTAGAAGGCATTTTAGTCAAACATCTAAGCAACAGTAGCAAATTCAATTCTAACTAAAATGAAGACCCACATTTGTAACGTAGTTACACAAAGTGGCAAAATAGTTATAACTTGAGTGGCACTTTGAGTTTAGATTTGACATTGGGCTATTTATCTTAGAGTGGGTAGATGCTCCTTTTTGGGGAACTATGTTAAAATTCTAAGGCACTACATCAGCCTAGAAAAAAAATCTGCAGACTCACCTGATACATCAAACATTTGATATCCAAGTTCGTCCTGTACTAATAAGTCCATTCCATTTGCAGCCGTTTCCTCTACATGAAGACCATTCCTGTTCACTTCACAAGAGGTGGGATACATTACTTCAAATGGTTTACAAGCCTCGTTCCGACTTTCTAAATTGCCTACATGAAAACGAGTAAAGAACCTTTTAGTATTTCTTATACTCTAATATCCCTTTCTTATATTCATACTGCAACCTTTGGATTTCATGCACCCACATTTACAGGCTTAACATAAAATTCTGGCTCATATCCATGCCCTGGGAGCAGCAGCTGGTGTGTACGGCCAGCCATAGAAGTGAATGGATGTGCACTTAAAAATACAATGATCCTTTTGTGCATGGTCTTAAAAATATGTGCACTAATGATGCATTCTCCAAATGCAGAAGTATTCAGGGAATAAATCATTTAAACATGCGCGTGTATATTACATCATGCACACGGACATTAACCGCTTTCGCACCACCCTATAGCAGAAACTGCTACAGGGCAGCACTGGTGTGCAAAATCACACACACACACACACACACACACACACACACATATATACATACACCATACATATAATTCTGCAGTTCCGGGTAGGGGGTCGCATGCGCCGCCATTCGCCGCCTCTCGGCTGTCAATCACCAGGTCCCAGCCGGTGATTCCCTGCCAGCAGCCTCCGAGGATTTCCGACGGGGGAGAGACCTGTATGTAAATACAGATCTCTCCTGTCAGCTCCTGCACTCTGCTTTGTATGGCTCTGCATAGCACAGCCATACAAGGAAGTGTGCTTACAGTGTACAAACCCACACAGCCCACATAGTAAAACAGCACAGTTAACCCTTTGATCGCTCCACGTTAATTCTTTCCACCCAGTGCCATTAGTACAGTGTCTGCTTTTTTTTTTTTTGTTTTGTTTTTGTTTTTAACACTGAGCACTAATGGTGTCACTGGGGATGTCAGTGACACCAAGTCAGTTCCCCCCAGTATCAGAATGCCCACCACAGTCCTGCTATAAGTCGCTGATCGTCGCCATTACTAATACAAATAAAAAAATTACAGTATATACACCGCCATTTGGAAACGCTATAACTTTCATGTAAACCAATTGACACAAATTGGGAATTTTGTTTTAGCAAAGGCTTTTAGCAGAATAAATTTTGGCCTCAATTTGATTTCAAATTTATTTTTTACTGGACATGTTTAATAGCAAAAAGTCAAAAATAGGGTTTTTCAAAATTGTCGGTTTTTTGCTTATAGCACAAAAAAATATAAAAACCGCATAGGCGATCACATACCACTGAAAGAAAGCTTTATTTGTGGGGGGAAAAAAAGAAGGTAAATTTTATTTGGATGCAGCGTTGCATAACCGTGCAATTGTCAGTGAAAAGTAACAGTGCCGCATCGCAAAAAATGCCCTCCAGAGGATTTACCTCCCCTTTCCTGACCAGGCCAAGTGGTTAAGCGGTTCTTAAAAATACACCCCGTGTATGATCCCAGCCTTGTTCCACAACTGGAGAGTATAGTTGCATGCAGATGTACTCCGATTCACAATGATGCTTATGTGCATTGGCTTAAACATGTTCACAAATGTATAATGTATTCCCCCAAATAGACGTTCCGAACTCAGAAAACGTCCCGCCAAGTGTTTATGCCGATGTACAAAAGCATTGGGGTATTTAGCCTCAAGCACATGGACATTTAGAGGCTCTTGCCCATCAGTCTTTTTTCGCCACAGGTAGTGGCCGCAGCAGTGAAAGGCTGTATGTGCTTGTGTTTGAATATACACCAAGGTTTTCACACATTGGCATACACATGTGCATATGACACTCTCCCAAATGTGAAGTTGTGCATCTATGTCCAGGCAGCCTTAAAGTGGAAAGTACACAGAATATATCTGTTTACCGGTTTAAACAATGAGGGTTTTGATACTTCCTGGTATTAAAAAAAAAAAAAAAAAAGTGTTCATTAGCTTTACCGCTTTCAGAGTTAGTTCCCTTCTCATTGGACAGAGGAAATTATGCCAATTGATATACAGACTGAAGACAAAAGGTGAAAGAAAGAGGTGGCATCCTGTGATTAGGGTGGTTCAGGATTACCCACAAAAGGTTCAGCAGGGTTTCCTGCGATTGGCTGCAGGCAGCAAGCCCCATTCAAAGGCAATAAGACAATGAGAGCACTCCCAGCTATTTGTGTCCATTTGCATAGAATCGGTCAAGCATTACCTGTGGATATCAGCTTTAGAGGCAGACTCTGTCCAGGGGCAGTCACTGGCAGGTAATCACTAAACAGATTACACATGAATCATGGAAAATAGCTACCAGTGCTGTCAGTGTCCCATTGCATTGATTGGAGCTTCCTGACCGCAGTTAATCTTGCGGATTCTCCCATGTGTAATTGTTAATAGCCCCATTCACAAGTGTGAAGAGGGCCTAAAGTTACATTTGCACCATCAAACCAGAAAATAAGCATGTGACTTGCCAGGCTGTGCAGTCAAGTTTACTGCTCATGAGGTTCACATTTAGAATTATAAATCCTGTGGCAGCTAAAACTGCAAACATATGCATCAACTACTTTTGCTCAAAACGGTTAAAAAAATTGACTTTTGTAAATTCCATATCATGGAATACATACAGTACAAGACACAGGCAGAATATTCACATACCATGGAATACAGGCATGTACCTTCAGGCAATCGGACACTGGAAATAACAGATCACAAGCCCCTTGGGTGCCTCCCCAATAACTCTACCCTACTGTACAGATATGGAATTTACAGACAAGCAAACTCAAAGGCAGAATGTTCATACACCATGGGATATCCCCACGCATTAAAAAGAGCGAGCAAAAGGCAGAAATCTGTGGAAAGGCTCAGCAAGCATCAATAGACGCAACCTCAGAACTATTGTGAACCTTGCAGCCAAAAGCTGCATCAAAAAATTTGACATCCACCTGGTAAAACTTTGAAAAAGTTTTAATAGAAGACCAGCTGGCAGCCATATGGAACTGGGCTACAGAGACTCGATACCAAAATCCCCATAAACATGCCCCAATCCAGTGGAATGGGCAAGTAAAATCACAGAACCTCTGAGAATGTAAGCACTTGCAACCAGATTTTGTATCCATCATGCAATGGTGGACTACGAAACTGTTCTTGTGAGGTCCAGAGAACAGGACAAAAAAGAAAACCATCTGTCTGATTGCCTTTTTCATCAAAGTGGTTGTAAAGACTCAAGATTTTTAAAAAAATGCATTCTATGCGTGAAGGTAAAAAAAACCTTGTGTGCAGCAGTGCTCCCAGCCCCCTCAATACTTACCTGAGCCTCCTCGCAATCCAGCAATGTGGACGGCCTCAGCTGTCCTGGGTTCTCTGCCTGCTCATTGGCAGAGACAGCCAATCATAGCCAGTCAGCCAATGAGGAGAGGGGGCGGGGCAAAGCCACAGCTCCATGTGAGAATGAACACACAGAGCAGCGGGTGCCCCCATAGCAAGCAGCTTGCTGTGGGGGCACCTAACATGTGGGAGGGGCCAGGAGAGCCTGTGGGGGACCAGAGGAGGATCTGGGCTGCTCTATGGAAAACCACTGCACACAGCAGGTAAGTATAGCCAGTTTTATTATAAAAAAAAAACCTTTAGAATCGCTTTAAGGTGTGATAATATATCTTTCAGCAAGGCAACAATCAGACTCAAATTGCTCTATCCTTTTAACACCTGAGTTTCACCAGCCATATTATTATAATCAGAGACTGGGAAGCAGGACAGGATAGAGGGTCCAGCATGGTACCATCTGGTCTGTGGAAAAAAGGTCAGGGGTCATTTACTAGAAGTCTGACTATAGTCTATGTACCAGGTTCTTCTGGGCCAGTTTTCCTCTCTTGCTCTACATACTTGAGCAGACGCAGTAGGATTTGCATTGAAGGAAAGGTGTAAATTAGTTTCAACTGAGACCAAGGGATTATCAAGGCATCTGAGGAAACAGAGGATCCCTGGTTCTGGCAAAAAAAGACAGTATGTTGAAACTGGTGGCTAGGATCTCTACATCCGGAGTTACCCATTTTTGGAGTATCTGACAGACATCTGGATGAAGGGCCCACTCCCCTTGATTGAGGGGATGGCAGCTCAGATAAAACGCTGCAAACATGTTTGTCCAAAAGAATCTGGTTTACTCTGTTCAAAGAAGCCAGATTCAAGGTGTTCCCTTGATTGCTAATGTAGTTGATGCAGTCTATGTCCAGGGATCACCACTTGCAAGAGATTGCTGCATGAGTGACTAGGTACATACAAGGGAGCATGATTAGCTAAACTGGCAGCCTCCCATTACTGTCAATGGGTTTGCCTCTTGCAGCCAATTACAGGAACCCCCTTACTAGGGCTCTTACATCTAAATCGCTGAGCGAGAGAAGAGGGGGTGTTTGAGCCCTGGACAAAGATGGTTGAATTAAAGCCATGATTTGTCTGAGCAATTGTGACAAAGGCAGAGAATTCTGCTTTTGTCAAGTAGGCCAATTGTGTGCCTGAAATATAGCTAGAATTGGATGTGGAGAGCGGTGTTAGAACTGGGTCCTGCTCTAGTGCATCATTTGAGTACAAGATTTGTGCAGCGCAAATATTGCATTTAGAATGCATGGTTTCCACTATAGCTACAAGTGAAGCTATTCCCCACTGGGGTACTTGTAGAGTAGAAGACAGGGTAAAGCCGCTGAAAAAAGGACTAGATTACCCCATCCACACTTGATGGATGGGGGAATCCTCCCAGCTGAGCTTTTTTCCCACATCAGAATACACTGATCAACGCTACTGGCGGTACTGATTAAGCAACCAGAAATTTGACAGGCAGTTTTACAAAAAAAGTAGATCAACTTCTGTACAACTACCCTGCCCATACATGTATCAAATTCAACCGGTCCCTGCTGAACTAGCTGAATTTCAATCCACGTATGGCCAGCTTAAGAACGTTTGGAAGGAGTATGATATAACCCAGGTGTTGACTGACCTACAACAAATCCTCCTGGTAATTTAAGGAGAAAGCACAAGAGTACGTTATAAGGACAGGAAGAAGAGCATTAAAGTGTCTGATCAGTGGATATGTGTTTCAAGCGCAGTCTCACATGGATGACCAGGAGTTGAGTGGCCTAATTTT